ATTGCTTTAAGAGGGACAGAGTTTCATTTAAGGAATGCAAATCTTTTGGCTTTGTGATGCAGCTCAAGATTCTGCTCATTATAAATGGAAATCAGTCTGCCCTGCTGGGGCATTTATCTTGACACACTGTGTCAGAGCGTACTGGGAGGAGATAGTGTGCTTCTGCTAAGTTATTTCACGGCCATATTTAACATGCCGTATTTGCAACCGGAATGTCAAATGCTTCAGATGGTAATTTCTATTAAGAAATGGTCGGGAATAAAGACAAACTGAAAGATCAACAAGATGCACTTGTCTTTCTTTATTGGAATTCAAATAATCTATATTTACAAATATGAATGAAATGTCTGTTGGTTGCACATAAGATCTGTTCACACCAGCTGACTGAGTCCCTGCCACACTAATATATTGACAATTTACATAGTGGTTTAAACAAGCACTTAACTTCTGCTTTTGGTAGTTTGGACTTCGTGCAGACACCCACTTCCGCACTTCAAGTAATAGCTTTTTGTTACTTCAGTTGAAAAATATTGCTTCAGTACTCCTGGGCCATTCTTCAGTCTCACAATATAATTTTGACTGCAGGAGTCGGTATCTGTTTTTAACTTAAACAGTTCCATCACATTCTAGTCTGAAGGAACTGGAATGTTCACTGAAGTTTTGTAAATTAGGCAGAGGGAACATCTGAATCGCTAGCATCTGACTCTGTCTGGCTAATGTGGTCTAGTGGTTATGCACTGGGGTGCGATCCACATGGTCAGCAGTTTGAAACCACCAGCAGCTCCAAGGGAGAGAGACTGGGCTTTCAACTCCAGTAAACTCTACCAGCCTTGGAAACCCACAGGGGCTTGCTCTAAGTTCGCATGGACTCGATGGCAGTGAGAAGTGAGCAATGTCACGATAAGAATGAATAACCAGAAAACACATTTGTTTTTTGACTTGTACCTCCCTCACCCAGCATAAGCTAGGTGTATTTTGTTCACCTTTAAAAACCACTAAATACGTGTGTGTGTGTGTGTTCAATATGACTATCCTGGGAATACAGACACGAGCAGGGTTTAATATACTCTGAAGATTAGGACTTCACAGTCTAGCCAAAGGAGATAGATGCTCAAAACACAATTTTTAAAAACATTTTATATATTTAAAGATCATTATTGAGGGTTCTTACAGCCCTTATAATAATCCATACATCAATCGTATCAAGTCTTGCCATCTTATTTTGTTGCCATCATTATTTTAGAAACATTTACTTTCTATTTGAGCCCTTGGTATCAGCTCCTCTTTTCTCCCTCCTCCCCTCCCTCATGCCCCCTTGCTAAATTATAGATTATTATTATTTTCATATCTTATACCGACCACTGTCGTACTTCCTCCATGGTTTCTGTTATTCACCCCCCCAGGGTGGTGGTATTATGTGTCAATCATTGTGATCAGTTCCCCCTACCTTCCTTCCTCCTCCCACTTTCCCCTGATCTAGCCAGAACTGAAAGGCAGGACTGGAGTCATGATAGTGGGGGGTGAGGAAGCCTCAAAGAACCAGAGGAATATTGTGTGTTTAACTGGTGCCACACTGGGCCCTGGTTCACTCAGTCCTTCCTTGTGACCCTTCCGTGAGGGAGTGTCCCATTGTCTACAGATGGGTTGGGGGTCTCTGTTCTGACCACCCCCCCTTGTTCTCAGCAATATGTTTTTTTATTTGTCTGGAGTCTTCTGATGCCCATTACCCGATCCCATTGGCACCTCATGATGGCACAGGCTGGTGTGCTTCTTCCATGTGCGCTTGTTGCTTCTCTGCTAGATGGGCTCTTGTTTAACTTCACGCCTTTAGGACCTCAGACACTATAGCTTTTGATAGGCGGGCACCATCTCCTTTTTTCACTTTGCTTATGCACCCATTTGTCTTCAGCGATCCTGTTGGGAGGTGAGCATCTCAGAATGCCAGGTTGTTAGAATAAAGTGTTCTTGCATTGAGGGAGGGATTGAGCAGACGCCCAGTCTGTCCACTACCTCAATGTATTACCATATAAATATATGCACATAGACCAATACCTCAATTTTTATTAATTAATATATTTACATACATACAAAAAACACAATTCTGATGCTGTGTATTAAGGGGTGTGCCCTGGGTAGCCTCAGGGGCTGATAGTGCACATTGCAGGTACACCCACACTGGGTCAGATGCCTACCTCCCAGGAAATGTTGTATTTCAAATGGAACCTTGAAGGTAAGCAGAAGCCAAGAAGCCCCCTGCTGATAGGGCAGAATATAGACTGTAGGAAAGGCATTCTAGCCCAATAGAAGGCATGCACAGAAGAGGGAGCCTATTAAAAATCTAAATGAAATTACATGGAGCTAGAGAGGACAATGCCTGGGATGGAAGAGAGGTTGGGGAGGAGAGAGCAAATAGGGAAGGGACGTGTGTGCTAAGAGAAATGTGACCGCCAGGGGAGCAGGTTAAACTTCTCGTAGTAAATTATCTTTACTCTGTTGTTCGATTATAAGTGGACGTTCTTGTTGCTGTTAGTGGTTTCCCAGTGCCACTGAATTTTGGTGGCTTTATGTAAAGTGGAATGATACATTGTCTGAGCCCTCACCAATTCTTGGACATGTTTGAAGTTACTGCTGAAACTACTGCATCCATCCAGTTCATTGAGAATTCCCCTTGTTTTTGCTACTTTACCAAAGAAGATGTCCCTTTCCAGCAACTAGCAAGTCTTACCATCTTCACGTCCATGTCTTATTGTGACTGTACTTCCTTGGTGGCATAGTGATTCTGTGTTTGGTTGCTATTTTCAAGGTCAGCAGTTTGAAACCACCCACCATGGCACCAGAGGAAGACAGGCTTTTGACTCCTTTAAAGGCACAGGGGCAATACTACTCTGACCCATGGGATCACTGAGTTGGCACTGAAACACGGTTTCTAAAAATGCTTCCTTCAAGATGGATTTATTTATTTTTCGGACACTCTACAGTGTATCCAATATTCCTTGCCAACACAATTTAACATGTCAATTCTTTTATTCTTGGTTGTCCAGTGTTGATTTGCCTATAAAGCAATCAAAAAGACCATATGTGACCAAGGTAACAGGTCATTGGTTTCTTGGCTGCTGCTTTCATGACTATTGATGGTTAATCCAAGTAGAAGACAATAATGATAACCATTATTAGATCAAATTGCTCTTTCCCCCAACCCCCTGAAATATTTTGGCTATACAATGAATAAGTAGCTATTCAAATATAAACATTCATAAATTCATCCTGTAGTTGAGTGTGAAAAAATAAGATATAATTGAATAGTTACATATTCTTCTATTGAACTATTAGAATGGGAAAACCCAATGATTTTGTCTTAGATAGAAGGATGTTCAAAAAGACATTCTGTGTGACTTTAATGTGTCAAATATATATACATATATTGGGGGGCTTTCACTGTCATCTACTGCCTTCTGCAAACTGGGTCTTCACAATTTAAGTTCTGATACCATTCCTTCCTCCAGATTTAGTTTATATTATTTACAGTCCTGGGATCACACACGTGGATCTGCTTCTTCCATGTGGACTTAGCTGACAACTCATTTAGATGGCTGCTCATTTGAAGACAACATTTAAAAACTCTAGCCACTATACTAGCCAGCCTCATCTGATTTTTTACCACACTTTGTTATTGCTGCCATATCTTCGGTGATCTCCTCATAAAAGCGAGTACTAAATAGGGCCATGCCATAGAAACAAACTGTTCCTAGATGAGGGCTATAATTAAGTGCAAGCTCAAAATCCATTCATGTATCACTGGTTCACCTTAGAGGCATTGTTGTCACTTTTTTGGAGGGCATTATTAATCATCTCCATGGGGCATAAGGTAATTTTATTGATAGTATCATCAATTTAGCCAATGGTATAAAGTTTTAAACACTGCTGAGAACAGGAAATTTCACATGTATAGGACTTATTTTTAGACCCAGTAGATGGACTGTTGACTTATCCATATTTAAAACCACGGGTGCACATCCAGTGAAGCCTGTAAGAGCCAGCACTCAGTGGGACTGCTTTGTTTTTCCTTATCTCCCAAGGTTTTGTCTTTGATAGAGTATAGCCTTACCACTCTTCCACCCTCTCTATTCATGGAAAATATTGAAGATATCCTTCTTTGGCAGGTTTCCAACTTACAAAGGCTCTGGCCTTTGCAAGTGTTACCGTACACTCCACCTTGGTCCCCCACAGATTATGTAAGCTGGGATGCACAGGTAAAGCAAACCAGTAATTTTCCAATAACCCAAACCACCAATTCAAGCAAACAGACCAACACAGGAGGCGAATATGCCAAATTAACAAGCGAAGGAAATGCTGAAGAACAAGGACAGCCCTTTAAGAACTCAGGTGCGCCTGACCGAGCCCATGGCCTTTCAACCACCTCAAATGCATGTGAAAGTCAGACAGTGAAGAAGGACGGCCAAAGGAGAACGGATGCACTTGAATTATGATTCTGGCAAAGAATAGTGAAAGTACCAGGGACCGCCAAGAGAACAAACATCTGCCATGGAAGAAGGACAGCCAGAATGTTCTTTACAGGCGAGGCTGGCAAGACTCCATCTCAAATACTCTGGACATGTTCTCAGGGGAGACGATCCCTGGAAAAGGACATCATGTTTGGTAAAATAGGAAGGCAGCAAAACAGAGGAAAGCCCTTGACAAGGTGGGTGGACGCTGGCTGTAACCATGGGCTCACGTATACCAACAATCGTTGAGGACGGCACGGGACCAGGCGGTGTTTCCGTCTGCTGTAGGTAGGACCACTATGAATCGGAACCAAATTGATGGTGCCTAACAACAACAACGCAACAAGGTATACAGTGGAACAAGCGTGAATTTGTTTATATCTGACCTCTTTGTGCATGAAGAGGCATTACCCTTTATCTTCCTAGGCAATAGCAGTTAAACGAGATATGCAAAATATCTGTAACTAGAAAAAAATGATAGAAGTAAGAGACTCTGAGTTCTCTAGGATACATAAACTTTTAATAGATTTCTATTAAAATGTGGAATAAAATTAGAAGAAAAAATCTAATTAAATCAAATATGCAGCACAAGAAAAATATGCCAACTATTTACTTGACTACATATTTCACATCTTCAGACAACATTCAGTAACTTTTTAATATTAACTTGAATATATTGCATTTAAATATTTTGATTATTTGTACAGTCTTCCAGCAGCATAATTAATTCCTTCCCATCATCAAAAATCTGTAATTCATTATTATTTCAAGTAAAGCTTTTGCCCTAGCATGACAAGACTATGTTTGAAATTTGAAAAACAAATGCCTCTTATTCATGCTTGTTTTTAAAAGAAAACTTACTGAATAATAAATTTCCAAAAAAAAGCATAGAACACCATTCTTACAATGATAATTGTAAGACGAGGATAGAGTTTATCTTAAACAATATTATTATATATTTTTTCCATAGAACATCTTAAATCTACCCTCTGAGTTTATGATCAAATCTTTGAAAAGGATTTATTTTCAAGAAATGAGAAAGGAATTTACTCTCCAATTGGTAAAACATCATCGGTACCCTTCCCTCCACCATGGAAACAGTTCAAAATCACATGCTAACACTACTCCTTTCATATAATATTCTTAAGAAACAGCATCTGAGAAAAATAATGCCCAGGAGGCTGGTGTGATTATAAATCAGATGGTTGCCCTGATCTCCACGGAGTTCTCCGTGTTCCAGGATTTGAAAGACGGACAATGAAAGCTCCACGGCCTGAGGGGTATCTGATGAATCAAACCATCTCGCTGATGGGAAACCGAGACACTGATAGGCTTTAGAGCAGGCTGCAGAACCAGTATTTGAAACAGGAGGACCATGTTGTAGCTGTGTCTATGGCAACCTAAGACACTTCAGAGGAACGGCGGGTCTATAGCTGGTCCATCACCATAGCCCAGGTTCCAGCTTTCTCTGTGACATGCAGAGCTGATGGGACTTGGAATCTCCATTTAAAGTTGACAGCTCATCTATTCTCCACTGCCAAACCCACAAGAGCAGCGTGAGAAATGATTATTTACAGCGACACCTTCAGACTCGAGAACGCAATCTATGTTGAAAGGACATAAAGTGAATTTCAATAAGTGAGATCAAGGTATGAATATCAAAATGAAATGACAGCTACATTTTTTAAAATTTAAAAATGAAACGACAACTAACGCAGCAATGAAGTTTACAACGTTGGCTAAATGTTTCTGTTGTCATTCCCTACAAAGAGATGTTTATGGGAATAAAAATAAATTATCAAACAATTGGATTTGAAATTAAATGCACATCTGTATACTGATGTGAGACTTGATTTGCATGTCTTTGATTTCTCTTTAGGAGAGAATAAACATGCATAATTTTACTATACCTGTTACTGAATACATCTCTTTGGGAAGTATAAAATAGATCCTTAGTCACTGAAAATAATTTACCAAGTGCCACAAAAGCATTAACGTACTGAAGACCATTCTGTTATTTTACCAAGCAGTGGTATTATCCATATTAGTAGAGAGGAGGTACACTTGCTGGGGAGTGCTTTGGGGGAAGTCCAGGGACAGAGACAACTGCATTGTCCATGAGGCTCCTGAGAATGATGTCCATCCATCATGTAAGCAGCCAGTACATAAAGGACACCCCGACATAGATGACACCCAGCATTATCCAGTTCATTCTTGTGATTGGTGGCCTGCAGTTACCTGTCACGGTGAGGAAGACGCTGGAAGAGAGAGTGCCACTAGAGTTATGGGCCCGAGCCACGTAGAGGCCAGCATCTGCCTCGCATACCTGTGCAATGAACAGTGAGTGCCTTGTCTCCGCATGTAAAACCTGTAAGTGACCATCAGCAGACAATTCCCGGCCCTTCTTGTACCTGCAGCAAAGAGTATTTAGTCAGGTCACTGTTTATTGACATCGTTTCCACGTTCTCATCACCATTGCACATAGGCCCATTGCTTCCGTAATGGAGGGGAAAATCTGTTGCCAGTGAATTGATTCTGACTCATAGGAACCTCAAAGGACAGAGTAGAACTGCCCTAGGGGATTTCCAAGGCGCTGGGCTGCTAATGGCTTTCTACTCCCATAGAGAGTTCCAGTCTTGGAAACTCACAGGGGTAGTTTTACCTTGTCCTATAGGGTTGCGATGAATCAGCATCTATCCACTGGCAGCGAGTTAGGTTGGGGTTTTGAGACGCTTTATGGAAGCTGACTGCCGTGTCTGTCCTCCGCGGAAAGCCGCGGAGTTCAAACCACCAGCCTGCTGGTTCGCACCCAAGCGCTTGAGCACTGATCACCAGGGCTGCTTCCATGACCCTTCTCTTTAGAATGAGTAGGAACTCTGCAGGGACACTGAATCAAATGTAGCTGTTTATCTTTTGAGCAGAGATCGACAACTGGTAGCCAGAGAAATGTCTTGATTGGCTGAGACACAGCTTTTAAAACACTTAATTTTTGGATAGCATTTAACAATTGGAATATTGCTTATAAATATTCAAATGTTCAGTTTCTCTGGCAAAACCAGACCATCTGGCCACCTTGGACCACTGTGCTTCTCTCGTGGCAACAATTACCTAGAGTGGGAGGTGGCACCGTCCCCGCTGGCCTGCTTCGTTCTCCTGCTCTACATAATGGCAGCTTGTGACTCCTTAGATCTGCCTCGGAGTGAAGCCTCGTCTGCCCTGTTGCATTCAAGCCAAAAGATCTTCTTGAGACTACAAATACGCTAGTCTACAAATGTACTGTTTTAGATAGGGCCACTTCTCCATCATTCTCAGTTGAAAGGAGTTCATTTCATTTTTATGAATTAATTTAATTGGAAAATGCCTCTTCATTACTAAAGGCCTCTGAAAAAATTGGATTAGTTCTGTTAAATGATATGTTTCTCAAAGTTTCCTGGAAAAATGAACATGGAGCTGCATCTCTTTCTAAAGCAACTACAGTAATTGTTTCTTCTGTATGGCCTAGATTCACGTTTACTTATTGAGGCCATAGTTTTCCATGTAAGAAGTAACAACAAACCCAAGCCAGGAGCTGGCCCCTCACCCAAGCAATCATTTGCTTTGGATTGAGTATCCTAAAAAGGCCCTAGCTTCTCACTTGTTGATCGAGCAAAGCTATTTGTGAGTCTAGTGGAGAAGCAATCTTTTTCTCCATGTGGTAATAATCTTAGTTCGTCAACATATACTAGACCAAAGTGTCAATTGTGTGGACAAAATAAGGAAAGTCTCAGACAATATTTTTCTTTGAGGTGAACTGATATTTAATGATGAATTCAGTACCTTCCGTATTCGTTAATATGAAATTTCAGATTTGTAAAACACACGCAAGTGTTAAAAAAATAAAACAAAACTCACAAAATCAAACAAAAAACGTGAGTGGCTATGCTATCATGACAAGTGTAGTTTCCTGGAACCATCTGAGAAATCTCAGTTTCCTCATATGCACCGTGGTTAGAGGCTCACCACAACATCATGGGTGGGCACATAAATCACAACGTTAAGCTCCTATCGGTGGAAAATCATGATTAATTTTAAACTTCTATTTGTTCATAAGCACAAGCATGTTCTCACACATCTATCTCTATGCCCTCAAATAAACCTAGTGAAGAATGAAAATATTCCTTATTATTTTTAGTTTTGTCAACATTAAAAGTTAAGACTGATTCTATTGTTAACTGCATCTGATGATTCAGAACCTCTCTTCTGCTGTTTACGTTTCCTAAAAACAAGTAGCTTTAAAAACAGTCTCCAGAGTGAAAGTCATGTTGTTCACAGGTCAGTTATGATAGCACCGTTCAAAGTGAGCTTATTGCCTGCCAACTATCAAAGGTTTTCTTCCACCCTTCACAGTGAAAGAACTTACATTTAAAGAAGAAGAAGGAATCATACTCCAACAATCAAATATTACAAAGGTGGGAAAAAATGAAATGAATGAATGACAGAAAATGGAAAACCTTAAATTCGATGTTTTTTTTCCATTGAATACGGGATGTTAAACTAAGAAAATGTCCTGGGTTTGTAGAAATTGACAACAGGAAAGGTTTCCATTGCCCCATCTTTAGAAATGCAGAGTGTTGAACTGGGAGGATGGGGTTGGGAAGCTCAATGCACTTACAGTGCCTTCGAAGGTTGTTAAATTATTATTGTATCTGGTGGATTGTTTCCTTAAGCACATTAGCCATGCTGGTTCTAAAATGAGACTGGGAGTTGAGGTGAGATGGAATCATGCAGAATCCCAGTGTAGTAGAGCATTAATCAGCCACCCCGAAATCTTAACGTTAGTGCACACAGATTTCCTCGTGATTCAATGAATCTGTTCTATGACTTGTCATTATAGGCTACCCACCATGTCAGTGTAGGCTCTGGAAATCCTGTTACTTCAACTTCCAAAGTCACTGGAGAACCTTCCATGACAGTGACATTAGACAGGAGCCTGGAGAACTTGGGTGCCTGGCCAGCTAGGCTGACCACTCTGTTCTTGGCGGATATACTTTTAACCTCTTCTCCGGGAACCACTGGCCTCTGATAGCCCCTGTTGGTGTCTGATTGAAACCCGAGGCTGGAGGAGGTGTCAGGGGAAGCATGCAGCCTGGCTTGGGTTTTAGGGGCCTGACTATCAGCATGCATTTTCTCCTGTGCTCCTAGCAAGCTTCCCCGAGGCGGCGGGTGCTGCCGTAAAGCAATCTCATGCATGTCATTCAGCATGCCAGCTGGATGGTTAGCACGGATTCTGCTGGAGACAGTGCTCCTTTCCAGAATTCCCCAGGATGTTAATGGGGTCTCCGCTTTGAGATGGGGGCCAGGTCTCTCAAAATGACTCGAAAACATTTCAGTCTTAGCGTGGCACTGGTCCGCAAAAGCCACAGGGGGTGGGAGAACAGATTCCTGGGCTTCCCGTGGGCTGCTGCTCTTCGTCTGCATCCTGAAGCTGCTCAGGGGAAGGCCCAGGGAGGAGGTGCTGGGTGGCTCCTCCACCTCCATGTCAGACGGTGCCAGGAGGGACTCGGGGCTTCCTGGGAGTGGAGGCAGAGAGATGTCATCCGGTGAGACGCACTCATCGTCCTCTGCTGAGAGCATGTCTTCAGGCAGGTGCAGGCCCCGCGGCGCGCCCTTTCCTTGGGCAGAGGTCTGCAGCGGCAGGCCCTGCGGAGGCTGAGCCTCTCCGGCTCCGTCAGTGGCCACAATGTCTGCCACGTGTGTCTGGCCCTTCAAAAGAAAAACACCAAAGCTGCAAGTAAGTCCTGCTTTCCCCTTTTTGAGGTCGCAGTTGGGGTGCCCCTTAGTTTCAGATAGAGAACTTGAGAAGCCTATAGCTTTCAGCAGGATTGCAGAACTGGAAACCTGTCTATCTAACCTGGGTACCGGTCGTCCATGACTAACTGACCTTAACTCTGTGAGTGAACTGTGAGATAGGCCCTATAGCACAGAAGAGTGACTTAGTTCTCATCCGTAAAGATCAGACTGGGTCAATGTCTTTCAAACTGACCTGAAGAGCCCTTCAACCAGAAAAAAAAATCTGCTTTGATCGGCTTATATTTATCTCACTGTAAACACAGAGTTCTGAATGCCAAACACGTCCTTGTCAGACAACCCTCCCAGAAGAACCCCTCTAGTCTTTCTAAAAAGCCATTCCCAATGGCTGGTTCTATTTTCTTCAGACTCCTTAATTCTATTTTTACATTGAAAAAATATTTATTGAATACCTACTGAAGTAAGCATTCAAGATACAATGGTGACTAAAAATGGATAGTCTTTCCCCTATAAAATGATAGGTTAATGGGGGAGGTAGCATAATTAATCACCTACATATTATGGCTTTTCCCAAGACAGCAAACTGAGATTCAGTGGAAGAACATCTGCCACTTACTTTTGTGCCCCATATGGCATGTGATCATGCCAAGAGCCACGGAAAGTAGTGGGCCTTTTCCCGGTTATCCTGTCCTGGTCAACATGGAACCATTTCAAGAGATAGCATGAGCACGAACCAATGGTGTTGAAGAAAGAGGTCTAAGTGCACTGAAGGCATTAGCAAAAAAGTAACACTGGAGGATTTGATAGCACTGATTGAAATGGCTCAACAAGCTGATAAAACATGGAGACACTTGGTCTATGCTAGGAAATGTGGAAGACAGCTACCTGGCCAACTGACTGCAAGAGATCCAGATTTAGATCCATTCCAAAGAAAGGTGACCCAACAGAATACAGAAATTAGCCAACAAGCTTATTAATATCACACACAAGGAAAATTTTGCTGATGATCCTTCAACAATGGCTGCAGCGGGGCATTAACAGGGTGCTGCAAGAAATTCAGAAGAGGCCGTGAAACAAGGATAACTTTGCTGACATCCGATGACTCTAGAATGATTTTTACTTGTGTTTTAGTGACTATGCAAAGGAATTTGACTGCGTGGGCCATAACAAACTATGGATTTGCCTCGAGAAGAATGGGAATTCCAGAACACTTCGTTGTGCTCAGATGGAACCTGTACATGCATCAGAAGCAGTTATTAGACCAGAACAAGGGAATCCTGCCTGGTGGAAATGAGGAAAGTTGGGTTGGGGGTCAGGGTTTATCTTCTCGCCACTTTTATTCAGTCTCTAGGCTGAGCAAATAATCTGAGAAAGTGGACTCGATGAAGAAGAGCAGGGCACCAGGAACTGAGGAAGGCTTGTAACTGCCTGTCACGTGCAGACGACACAACCTAGCTTCTTGCTAAAAGCGAGGGAGACTCGAATCACTTGCTGGTAAAGCTCAAGGATTGCAGCCTTCAGTGTGGATTGCAACTCAATGTCAAGAAAACCAAAATCAGCACAACTGGGCCAGTAAGTAACACAATAAATGAAGGAAAGATTGAAGTTGTCAAGGATTTGATCTTGCTTGGCTCCACAATCATTGTGCATGGAAGCTGCAGTCACGAAATCGGATGACACATGGCACTGGTACATTGGAAACATGCCATTTTTAAAGTGCTGAGGTGCAATGATGTTGCTTTGAAGATGAAGGTGCACCTGACCCAAGCCCTGGAACTTTCAACGGCCTTCTGCACATAAGAACTTTGGACACCGAATAAGGAAGCGTGAAGAAGAATCAATGCACTTGCATTATGGTGCTGGTGTAGAATACTGAAAGGAGCATGGAATGCCCGAAGTACAAGCAAATCTGTCTCGGGGGAAATACATCCAACAAGGCTCCTTGGAAGCGAGGATGGTACGTTGGACGTGTTATCAGGAGAGGCCAGTCTCTGGAAAAGGGCCACTTGTTTGGTGAAGCGGAAGGGCAGTAAAAAAGAGGAAGATTCTCCCGCGAAAGGACTGATAGAGCGCTACAGTGGATTCACCGCAAACCTAAGGACCAGTGTGAGGATGGGGCAGGAGCTGCAGGGTTTCCTTCTGGTGAGCATGGGGTTGGTTGCTTTGAATGGGAATCAAACAAGAACCACACATCTTCTTCCACACGGGTCAGAACAGCCTCTGCATTAATAAGGGAAGGAGCCCTACTGATGCAGCTAACTGAAGGTTGGTGCTTCCACCCCACGAGCCACTCTCTGGGAGAAAGAGAAGGCTCTCCGTGTCCCAAGACTTCGTCTTCAGAAGCTGGGCAGGCCCGTTCTACTCTGCCCTGTAGGTCCCTATGACTCAGAATCGGCTTGATGGCACCGGGCTTACCCTCCACTGGCTTTTGTCCTGTCGGTAACTCATGCACACAAAAAAGTTATGTCTTTTAAAAAAAATCATTTTATCGGGGGCTCTTAGAGCTCTTAAAACATTCCACACATCAATTGTATCAAGCATGTTTGACCACATGTTGCCATCAACATTTCCAAAACATTTTCTACTTGAGCCCTTAGTATCAGCTCCTCTTTTCGCCCCCCTCCCTTCCCTCCCTTCCCACCCTTGTGAATCCTTGATCAATTCTTATTTTGTATCTTACACTGTCCCTTGTCTCCCTTCACCCACATTTCTGTTATTCGTCCCCTTTGGGGGGCAGGGCTATATATCCTACCTTGTGATGGGTTCCCCCTCCCTCCCTCTTCCCGCTCCCTGACCATCCCTCTACCCTCATGTTATCGCTACTCCCAATACTGTCCCTCAGGGGTTTATCTGCCCTGAATTCCATGTGTCGAGAGCTCTTATCTGTGCCAATGTTTGCTCTCTGGTCTAGGCAGATTTGTAAGGTAGACCTGGGTCATAGTAACGGGGGCAGGAAGCATTCAGGAACTAGAGGAATGATTTGTGTTTCCTCAGTGCTATACTGCACTTTCGTTGAATCATCCCTTCCTTATAAGCCTTCTGTGTTGGGATATCCAAGATCCAAAGCAAACAACGGTATTGATGAGAATAAGAGGGTTTGGAGTGGAGACAAAAAGCCCATCTGTAGACAATCGAAAGTTTTGTCTTACATTGATTTTGTTTTATATATATATATATATATTTTTTTTCCATCCAAAATTCATGCTCCTGACATATCAGGGGTTTTTAAGTAAATAAATGTATTTTTAGGTTGAAGGGTGGAAGCCAAACCCAAACAATATTCCTTTTCCTGTCCTACAGAGGTGATTTTTCCTCAGCTAAAGTTGACCTTGCACTGCCACAGAGGCAATTCTGCTCACATCGGCTACCTGGGACAGAGGAGAACTGCCCCTGTGGGTTTTCCAGACTGCAGCGCTTTACAGGAGCAGGAAACCTCAGCTTCCTCTGTGCCGTGGCTGGTGGTACCAAACTGCCACTTTGTGGTTAGCAGCCCAACATACAACCCACTGCATCATCAGGGCTCCCTAAAGTTAAACTAACTTCAAGAAAATTCTTTCTGTCAACCGTTTAGGCATTTAAATTTGGGATCCCCAAACCAGAAGTTCTTGAAAGCCCCTCTCATTTAAAATAGACAGACAGACAAAAAGCTAAATAAACATATGTCCCATAGCACACAGCCTTCCTTCCCTTGGTGGTCTCTGCACAGTTTAGCTCTGCCTCTGTATGTCTCTTCCTGAAAGTAGAATCTTTATTTATCCTTCTCCTCTGAGGCACTTGGCTCCATCTTTCTGCCTAGAGTCGAAGAACCTACATCATTTCTAGCAGCTTCTGTTTGCACACGTTGTTTGCAAGGGTGCTTGTTTTCTTTGAAAAGAATTGATTCTTTTATTCTTTCCTTGTTCTTTAATTAGCAAAGCCCTGTCTGTCTGTACTTTCCACAGGTGGACTTGACTCAGCCTCATGGAATGAAAGAATATGGCCAACCATTCTGCCATCTAACAGCTCTTGAATGGTTGGGAGAATCCATTCCACATCCTTTGAGGCTCTTTTTACTCAATACTCTCAAGGCCTTCAGCTTTGATTCCTGAGATGGTTGTCCTCTAGAATCGACCATCTCTTGGGAGTGCTCCCCCTGCTGGGCCATGGGCTCCTTCACAGGAGAGCAGGGGGTGGGCATTTACTGATGTGAAGGCTGTCCAGGGGAACTCTAGGATGACTAAGCAGGCAGCCTTTGCCTCTGCAGAGAAGAAGGAAGAGTTAAAGGTGTCTGCTAATTTACAACCAGCTCAGCAGAGAACGCTGAATCAAAGGCCAGACCCTCTCCCTGTGCCTCACTAGAAATAGATTTACCGAAAACGGAGAGCTTTGCCGAAGTGACTGACCATCACAATTCACTCTCTCTAAGGCAGTGGTTCTCAACCTGTGGGTCACGACCCCTTTGGGGGTCAAACGACCCTTTCACAGGGGTTACCCGATTCATAACAGTAGCAAAATGACAGTGATAAAGTAGCAACGAAAATCATTTTATGGTTGGGGGTCACCACAGCATGAGGAGCTGTATGCAAGGGTCACGGGTCACGGCATTAGGAAGGTTGAGAACCACTGCTCTAAGGTCATATCTCTGGCTGGCCTTCCACCCAACGGGCGCATTCAGGTCGGCCCTTGTACATGGAAAGGCCCTGCTGGGCACCCGGGGTTGCTGTGGTTGTCTGTGTGCTGTCCAGGCAGTTCCCAGCGACCTCTTGGGTGACTGGTGTCATGGACGGAAACGCGGCCTGGTCCTCCACCCTGCTCAGAATACTCACAGGCAACCACAGGGCTCCTGCAGAATGTCTGTAACTCCATGGACAAATATAACTAAACCAGAGCTGAAGTTTTGGCAAACCTGCGAATGAAGTCCATAAACCTCATCCTCCCATGCGGCTTTTCTTGGCTACTCATTCCTGACTCGTGTCTTACTTTTAGCTGGTGCCAAGCGCAGGGAGGGAACCGCCCCCCTCTACAATTCCTAAAATGGAAAAATACTATTCACAGAAACTAACACTACCAGATGCTTTCTACAGAATCCTAAGAGAGTAGCCGCTTTCTCAAATCTGCCCTGGAAGCGCCTTGTGAATACAGCTTCCCTCAGCAAGTCGATTTGTTTCCAGAATAAATTTACTTCCCACCTAAAAGCAGTCTGTGGAATCATTCATGTCTTTGATCTCAAAGACATATTTTGTTAAAGTGATTGTATTGATTCTTTTTTATTCGTTTCAATAAGAACCACATCAGACTGCGGATCCATACTGAATTTTTAGTCAACTAAAATTTCCAACCTCCTTTGTCTTATATTTGGACAATTTATTTTTTAAGGCAGGACTTATCAAACACCAAGCCACTGCCCTCGAGGCTGACCAGGCTTCCTTGGAACGTTTAGTATAAAAGTAGTATTCATGCTTTATTAATGATCAATGAAGAAGGTGGGGGGTTGACATGGAGAGCTACAGGATCATTGCAGGAAAAGCTGATTTATATGCAGCAGTTTCTTTAAAAGAGCTCTCCTTCAGTCTTCTAGAAGAAGAAGAAAACGCATGTACCTGAGATTCAAAAGAATGGAGCTGCCTGCCCAGTTCTGACACTAGCTAGCTATGCTTTGGGGTGGGTGGATGGGATATTTCATCTCTCCTGGCCTCAGTGTCTTCAACTGTAAAAGGAGATTCGATCAGTCCCTTCTCACCCTAGAATATGATATTGCTAAATGCCGGGATTGTAAGCCCTCATCATCCACCAAATAGATCTGTGAGTTTACTTAACCCTCGTACTCCTCTCGGCCTCCATTATGACCTTGGGGGTTTGGGTTATTCCTGTGGAGTTAGCTTCGGGGCTCACCTTGGGAATAAAACGCCCCCACTCAGCTGGTAGCAATGCTACTCACATTGTGTCTCCTGACTTGCCCAGTTCCATCAACTGTCTTCTGTGGTCAGGAAAATGAAAGCATTCTGTTATCTACAGGAGAAAACTCTTGGCATGAGGATGAATCGAGTTTTGAAGTTGTTTTGTGTAATTATCCTTTCTGGCTCTAATAACTTTCCTAGAAAGAGCAACCCCATTTAAAGGTATCATATTTGAATGCATGAATTTCCTGAGCACCCTGTTGTGATGGTTCCCATTATCTGGCTACTAGTGTTTGTGGGGATCATTACATCTGGCCTATAATAGAAATAACAGAGACAATAAGAAGGTACATGGGAGTGAGCTGTTTAAAAATGAAGATTACAGCTGCTCTTTCATTTCACCATCTGCACCAATTGCATGAGAATGTATACAGGAAATGTTGTCAACCAGAGTTCTTGACAGCTATAATGATATACCTTCACTTTCATCCCAAATGACTGATGGTCTAGTATGGGGTTTAATTTATATTAAACTGAAAGCTGTTTTTGTTTCTGCAATGAAAATAAACCCTGATTCTTTATTTAAATGAATCTGTTTCTTTTAAAAAGAAAAATAAATAAAAGCAAAAACCCCATGTTTACTGTGTTTACTTTGGGGTACTAACTTCTACTTCTGACCTCTTAGTAAATGTGCCTGGGTCACTGTAAAATGTGCAGGAAAAAAAGAAAGAAATGATACAATTTTTGATTTAGCAACTCTCAGACTTCCATCAAGAAAGTGAGGAGCAGTTAATGCTGCTCTTTATTACTTTGACCAGTGGTTCTCAGTCTGGGGTGATCTGCTCCTCAGTGGACCCCTGGTACGCCTGGACACAGTTTTGGTTTTCAAAACTGGAAGTACTGCTGATAAAAGTCAGTGATGCCACTAAAACCAAAACCCCAACCAAACTCACTGCCATCTCATAGCAATCCTATAGGACAGGGTAGAACTGACCCTGTGGGTTTTCAAGGATAGAAATCTTTAAGGGAGAATGAAGCCTCATCTTTCTCCCAAGGAGCACCCAGTGGTTTTGAACTGCTGACTTTGCACTTAGCAGCCCAACACGCAACCCACTATGGCACCAGGGCTAAGTACATTACAGTGCACCCTGTTTGTACTTCTCCACAACAAGAAGTCTCATGGTGCCGAGATGGAGAAATCCAGATTTGTACACAGTCGGAGTAAATGAAGACCATTTTAATTAAAGATAAGATCAGATATAGGAGAAAGATAGGGGTTCTACTCCACAAAGGGTTACTTGAAGGGGCAGGTCTACTCTGTCTTATCGGGTTGCTATGAGTCAGCATCGACTCAAAGGCAGTCAGTTTGGGGGACGGTCAAATAAGATGACCAAGCTTTGGCAGCTTTCCTTCATTGTGAGAATAACCGAGGTGTAAGTGTCTCAGGGTCATACCCCAAAAAGGTAGTGCATTTAATAGACGCTTAATGGTTACATAATCACAGTCGCTTTTTACATAGATTTCACTTGTGGAAAAGGAAATCTTAAAAATTGTCTTAGCTTCAAGGATCTATCAATCTTTCAACAGGCTAACTGCAACAAATGAGAGTTTTTTTAAATTCACATGTCTCAAGAAGTATATTTTATTCTTTGGAGGGCAGCTGAGAATGATGATGACTCTGCTTCTTCCTTCGCCTCCTCGGAGAGAAGCATTGGGAGCAGGCAACTTGGCAAAGCGTAAAGTCAGAGCTAATTATAGGCTAACAGCTATACATAGAGTGTGAACAACTTATTTGGAAAGTCTGTAATTTTTTAATTTAAATAATATTTTGAAAGCATGATACATTTGCATTTTGGGAATATTTGCAGTTTTTACTATATGCTTTAGTGTAGCTATAAGTGCATTGGTTTGAAAGTAATTGAACCATATCTCTAAATACTTCAGTATTTATATTTTAGCTAGATTCTAAAGTTCAGTATATGTTACTGGAAATATCATCTTAAAGGCAGATTCTGAAGTAACAAGATACAATAATATTTCATGTGCTAAGATGATTTTTTGGGGGGGGGCAATGTCAAACATTATCAATCATAGGTCCAACTCAACCTCACCCCCTGCCACTGAGTCAATTCCAACTCACAGAGACCCTACAGGACAGGGTAAAACTGCCCCTGCGGGCTTCCAAGACTGCATCTCCAAAGAGTTACAGGAGCAGATCGTCTTCTCCTCTTTCCCCTGTGGAGCAGCTGGTGGTTTCGAACTGCTGGCCTTATGGCTCAACATGTAAACCAAATGCCACCAGGGCTCCTAAAAACAATTTGGTGGTATAATAAAGAGGAAGAAGTAAATGTAAAGTTCAGTTTGGATATAAAAGAACAATGCAAACACAACTAGAAAGGAGGGATGCAGAAATGGTCCATGGGGGAACTTATGACCTTTGAATGGCTGCCCCAATGCCAATCTAAAAGGCTACTGTTCCAATATTTAAAAGCGCTAATGAGAGGGAGACAGCGTAAGAGAACCGGATTCATTAAGGACCCAGCCAGAAGAAGGAGGAAACTCACATTGCATTTACACTAAGAGCTTTGGCTGAAACAGATACGAAAACCCAAGTCCTCTACCTTCCAGTCAACTCCATCTCTTATAGCAGTGGTTCTCAACCTGTGGGTTGTGACCCCTTTGGCTGTTGAACGATCCTTTCACAGGGGTCGTCTGATTCATAACAGTAGCAAAATTACAGTTATAAGGTAGCAACAATTTTATGGTGGGGGTGGGGTCACCACATCATGAGGAACTGTATGAAAGGGTTGCAGCATTCGGAACGTTGATAACCACTGTCCTATAGGATAGAGTATGAGTCTATAGATATTTATGGAAATAGACAGCTCCACAAATTTTTCTGAGGAGCAGCTGGTGGGTTTGAACGGCCAATCATGCAGTCAGTAGCCCAAGCTTAGCCCACAGTCCCATTAGGGTTTCTTTGAAATACACAGAAGCAAACCACCCCACTGTGAACAAGTTGACTGTGAGTCACAACAACTCTGTAGAGGGGTTTCTGAGGCTTTGTACATCTTTATCAGAGCAGTCAGTCTCATCTGTCTTCCACAGAGTGGCTGGTGGGTTTGAACTGCCAAGCTTGCACCAGGGCTCCTCTGAAATGGATAGGCTTTAATTTAGATTTTTGTTTTCTTTTTGCTGAGTATGATGATGAACCTCAAAAGAAAAGTAATAATAAACAGCCAAGGCTTCGTAGTTTCCTTTACCTTATTGCTTTCTTCATTAAACACAGTCTGCTTATTTCTTGCTGGCTCTTTTAGTAGGTCAATACAATCATCATGGAAGCCTTCCATATCCGGATTTAGGTTTAAAACGTCTCCCTGCTGAACAAAGTGGTGGTCAGTGAGAGTCTGGGCCAAGAGAAGGTTAGAGGAACAGGTAATACAATAACCACTTGAAAGAAAATGTAGACCACTTGCAAACTTTCAGGAAATGTATGCCACAAGAGATGGATCAGGATGTGATTTATAAAATCATCCCTCCAAGCTCCGAATGCTCTTCCTTCTGCCCCAGTTCTTGGAGAAAATTCATTGCCAGTAAAAAAAGTGGTTATTGGAAGGCCAGCAGGGAAAATAAAAGTCATTGTTGTAACATTATGCTACTTCAGGAACAATCTCTGGGTAAAAAGAATCATTGGTTAGGGGGGTTTGAGCCATTAAAAGAGTCTGCAGAGCAGCACTGAGGTAGAGATTATTACAAATATTGGATGGAACAAAAGCTGAATTTTTTGAGAACTTACACTAACAAAACATTTGGGGCACACTTGAAAAGAAGAAGGAACTATACCTATGATAAAGAAAAGAGAAAGAGAGACCTAAGAATGCTTCATGTGGCGTGGTGATATGTGCTCCATCCTTTCATGGGGCTCAGTTTTAGCCAGGAAGGAGGAAGGGGAACCAGAGGGAGACCCCAGAAGATTTTCTAAAAGTAAAGCCTCACAAGCACCCAGGACAAAGCGTGATGATTGCCAGCAGAGTCTCTGTTCCATTTGGAACATGGCAATGTCATCAGATGCATGTGAAAGGCATGAGCATGCTCTTCAAAGCTGACATGCTCCACTGAGATGTAGCTTCCAGCTCTAAAGCCAAAGTGCCTTGTATTACCGGGTAAACGGCTCTGCTTCCGTGAGCCCGTGACAAGGCTTTCCGCTCTCATCAATATGGACAGACATGGCAATCTAAAGGGGCAGCTCTACTCTGCCCTTTAGGCACCATGAGTTGGCTCAACAGCAGTGGATCTGATACCTAATTCCAAAATGGGGGCTGTTGTGAAAGCAAACACGAAAAGGCTCCACTAGATTTTGAATTAGGAGATCTAAATTAAAAAAGCTTTGAACCTCCTCCTTCCTCCCTTTAAAACAAATGAAACTTGTATCTTAACTTCATCTAAAGGTAATTTGGAAGATCATAGAAATGATACTTGAAAGTATTTTTTTGTAAATCTCAAGTTTCTATACAAATGGAAAGGATAATTATCATAATTTCAGCCTTAACAGAGATTCTTCAGTCCCCCTGCTTAATGATCCCCACAAAAGATAGTCATTGCACCAACCTCCAACACATGACAGTCCAATGTTTATGTAGGAATATTTGTAAAATGTGCTCTACAAGCATTCTTTGACAAACTTTGATTCTGACTGATACTCATTAGGGCAATGCTGATTCTTATTCCACATACCAGGAAAATATTTTATTCACCCACATCAAAAATTGTTGAGTTATTGAATGATTCTTTATCTCTGTACCAACAGTTTGCACATTTATTACAGATGCCCCAAATTTTCCACTTTAGGCAAAGCATTAACAGTTCATACATTGCACTTCCTCAAACTCAGTCAAGTAATGGTTGGCGTGGTAGTGGTAGTTACAGTGACAGTTATGGTAAAAAAGAACACAAAGTGCTGTAGGACATTGGAGAGGTAATTGTATAATTAATGGATAATTAATGGATGAGGTGGCATTTGGGATTGATTTTGAAAGATGGTGATATTTTGATAAGCAGAGAGAGAAGGTCATGTATTGGAGTAAAGATTTAGAAATCAGAAGTCCAGAGAGTGACCAGCAGACTAGTTGGGTGGGAGCCTACAATGAATGTAGGTGCACATGCTTTGGAAGGTATCAAAATAATCTGAAAGCATAAAAAGGCCTCAAGTCTTAATTTTCTCTGGTCAGGAATAAAGAATTTGTAATGCAGTAGTTTGAATGTAAAATGATGCTACGAGAACTCTTTTAGGAAGGACAATTTAACTGGAATTTCTAATTGGAAGCTCCGGCATAGCACAAAAGAGAATGGAGTGGTAGATTGAGAATCGGAAAGAAAGGGTACAATCCTAATTACGGAGGGTTCAGAGGCAATAGGAAATAGAAAGTGGTGGGGGACTGGAAACAAGTCTTTCAGAAAGAATATCCATGATTGGGAGAAGAAATTTGTTTATTAAGTTGAATCTTACTTAAAAATGTGCACTCTAAATGGGAGGGGTGTTGTAAACAGGAAAACCAAAGAATCAGAGGAAACAGAGACTTCCAACCGAGGTATCAGTAAAACAAACAGGTGCTCAGGAGAGAGGTGTGGGTGTGGAGAAAATGATTAAATGTAGGCAAAGACATGAGGTATATGGTACATTTATACATTACAGACGACATGATAATTCTAAAACATTTATGGAAAGCAATTAAAAAATGGGTTAAATTGCTTTTCATTAAAAAATTCATTATGCATTGAGTCAAATGTACTTTGGGGAATTTCTCATCGGAAGTCATGCAAGAGAAAGAAACAGCTACAAGACTGATAGGAGCGTTCTTTAAAACGGGGAAACATGGACCACAGAGGGAAAGGTAACGTGCTCAGAACCACAATGACTCCATCATGCCTCAGTAACCGGCGCAATGTTAATCCCGGCATCGTTATCACGGCGTTCGGCATGAGATTGCCCCGTCGCTGTTGTGATCAGGTGCTGGGAGTCCGTTTTGATTCACAGCGACCCTTTGGGCAACAGCATGCAACGCTCCCGGTCCTGTGGCAGCCGCACCGTTCTTTGTGTGAGTCCATGCTGCAGCCGCGAAGTCAATCCATCTCGTCTAGGGTCTTCCGGCTCTCCCTGCTCCTCTGCTTTACCAAGCATGACGCCCTTCTAACAACACGTTCAAAGTACACGATGAGGTGAAGTCTCACATCTTTGCCCTTAAGGAGCCTTGTGGCTGCATTTCTGCCAAGGCAGATTTGGCGTTCTTTGGGCAGTCCGTGGTGCTTTCAGTGGTCTTCACCAGCACCACCCAACTGCACCGATTCTCCTTCGTCCTCCGTGGTCAATGTTCAGTTTCACATGCGGCGATTGAAATGACCATGGCTTGAGTTGGGGTCCTCTTCGTCCTCAAAGTAACAGCCTTGCTTTCTAACCCGTTAAAGAGGTCTCCTGCAGCAGTTTTACCAAATGCTTCGATCTCTTGACTGCTGCTTCCATGAGCATTGATTGTGGAGCCAACTGGTACAAACTCCTTGACAACTTCAATCTTTCCTGTTTCTCATGATGTAACCTATGGGTCCAGTTGTGAGGATTTGGGCTTTCTTTACGGTGAGTTGCCATCTATGCAAAGGTAGCAATCCTGGGATGGGGTTTTGCTATTGCCTCCATTTTCCTCGTCAAGAAGCTGAGTGCAGGAGATTAAGTAATCTACCCCAGGTTACAGATGTAACTATTTCTGGTGTTCGTATGCCAGTGCAAACGTGGATTCTTCTAGAGCCTGTGTCCTTAATTACCCTACTATAATAAAAGGTTTTTACAGTTTTAAGCACAATATTAATAAAACCATAATTTTTGATAAGCAATAGCCAAAACAATATTATATTTCTTTCTTTTAACTGACTGTTAGGCATATGCATGTTTCCCTTTATTCTTACCATCAGTTTTCATTCGATTAATTTTTTATTCATTATATCAATTTTGCATTGATTCACTTATTCATTTAACATTAAACTAATGGTTAGTTTAATATTTCCATATAAGTTAAGGTTATTTTATTTTCTGTAGGGTTACATTTTTGAGGGAAAACAAATAAACGAACAGAACTACATCTATCATTTGTAAACAAACACATGAGGCTATTTAATCTAGACTAGAGGTTGGTTTTATTTTATTTTATTTTTATTTTTTTAACATTTTATTAGGGGCTCATACAACTGTTATCCCAATCCATACGCACATCAATTGTGTAAAGCGCATTTGTACATCGTTTCTCAAAACATTTTCTCTCCATTTAAACCCCCAACATTAGGTCCTCATTTTTCCCCTCCCTCCCCGCTCCCCCCTCCCGCATGAGCCCTTGATAGTTTATAAATGGGTATTTTGTCATATCTTGCCCTGTCCGACGTCTCCCTTCATCCACTTTTGGGTAGGGAAGAGGGAACCGATTACATGGAACTGTGTGTGACCTCCTCCCTGGGGGACAGACAACCAAAAAGTAGAGGTTGGTTTTAATGGCACATGTTTATCCTTTAGGATGTGATCCATGAAGATGTAAATGAGACACCTTCATTGTGCTTAGCCTTCATTCCCAGCAATAGTTTTCTTTGAAGTGATAGAAAAAAAAACAGAATTAATGATCAGAAACACCCAGATAATTATATTAGAAAGCTGGGAATGTGCACATTATGTCCCTTGAGAATTTCTTTTAGAACATCTTTGCACTAGAAGACACGTGGCAAACACATTCATAATTATAATCTCTCAAAAATACATATTCTAGAAAAAAAAGAAATTACCTCCAGTTTTTCTTCAAGCTCTGTGAGAGAGCCACATAATTCAGTCACCGATTCAAGAACCTCTTTGTGTTTTGCCACTATTTTCTCAGCATACTTCTTCCCTTCTTCCAAACCTAGAGAAGGGGTGGAACTTGTTAATGAAGGTCAAATTGTTAGCAGAAATTTTAGAATTCCAGGCATTTCCTCATATCCCCAACATCTGGTGTAAGGGCTGGTAGATACCAACTCTTTAATAAATATTTGCAGGATATATAAATAAGTAAGCCTTTTTGAGGAAAAGTCAGATACTCTAGGAAAGTATTTACATTTGCTGTGCTATGTCACTATTATTGATCCTACATAATATTGCCACATTAATTTTCTTAAATCTCAATTCTAATCCAGTTTTCTCTTGTTCAGAACGTCCCATGATTCTCCACTGGTTAGGAAAATACAGATTTCTCAGAATGGTATTCATGGTACTTCCTATTTAAGTAACACTAAGTTCCTCACTAAGTTTGTCTCTGGCCAAACTAAACTAGACACTCTTCCCTCAGAATCTCTGGAGTCCCCGCATATTCTTTCCTAAACTGGGGATTTCCTTCCTATTGCTGTCAAAAGCTTTCTGACCCTTCTAGGCCCATCGCCTGTAGCACAACACCTCTGCGAAATGTTCTAATCTTGCCCAATCAGGTTTCATTTAGCCCCATTGATGTAATAACAAAAACACTACCAGGTAGTGAGTAATGCCTTTTCATCTTCCTGTTGCTAAATACTTTATATGCATGATGTAGTATAAGCCTCATATAGGTTCTATTATTATCTACATTTTACAAATGAGAAATTTGAGACTCAAAAGAGGTAGAGATTTGAATCCAATTTTTTGAAGTGGGGAGTCGAAATTTGAACCCAGACTGCCTGATTCCATGTCACAATTTAGACCTAACTGTATTGCACCTTTTATACCTCCCACACTTCCATTAACACTTAAGTGCAAGAACTGGGTCTTACTTGCTTTATGTCAACCATAGCTCTCAGTAATAGTAAGAACTGAATTTTAAAAAACAGTTCTATTCACATATCATTCACACATCATACAACTTAATAGTTCAATCATATTTTAAAAGCTGTAAAATCATCACCACAATCAATTTTAGAACAATTTCTTCCTTCCTGTACTCATTGTTATAACTCCTCATTCCCCTTTTACCATGCTCTCATGAAACCATTCACCCAGTTATTTTCTATAGATTTATCTATGCTGGATTTCATAAACAGGAAAACATACAAAAACGAACACTGACAAAGTAAAACAGCAACAGATCTCAATCAAAAAGAAGCAGATATTATCAAAAACTAGAACAAAAGTTTAAAATGGGTCAAAAGGTAGATCAAATTATAACGTCTTAACATTTAACCTAAAACTGCAACAACCTACTTTTCAATGCACTATGCATGACAGCAAGGCTATTCATATCCCTGATCTATGGACAGAAGGAATTCACTGGGAGCTTAATCCACGGGCATTTCCTGTCCCCCTTTTATTTTAATGGAAACAACTTTAAAATTAGTCAAAAGGGAACTCAAATCATAAGGTGTACCATTTTAATCTAACTATATCTGCCACAATTGACTTTGCAATGCCCTCTGTCTGATAACAAGGCGATTCACATCGCTTGACTATAGTCAGAAGGTCATCCCCAGAGACTTAATCCATGTGTGGACCCAGCCAATAGGATGCTGGCCTTCCCCTATCATCCACAGCCTTCTGAAAACTAGGTGTTCAATATTTAAGCTCTGACACCATTCCCTCCTTCATGTTTAGATTTTATTATTTATAATCCTTGGATCACACAAGCTGGTGTGCTTTTTTCATGTGGACTTAGTCAATGCCTTATTAGGCGGCTGCGTATTGGAAGATAAGCCTTTAAGACCATAGATGCTATTCTTTCTGACAGCCAGGCACCATCTAGTTTCTTTGCCACATTTGGGTATAGCACCCATATCTTCAGTGATCTTTTCATGGGGGCAAGCATCAAGCAGGGCCATGTCTTAAGAACTAATTGAAGAACTGATTATTTTAAGGTAAATATATTTGAATTAAAACTCAGGGTTCAATAAAACTTGTCTTGTCTGCACGAATTGCTACAATATCCCTAAACTACCCTTATTTGATGCAAAGAAATACAAATGCGTAGTTTCCTTACATTCTACAGCAGATGACTCAGATCATCCATTTAGTCGCTCATCTTCATTCAGTGATTCATTCATGCAGCAAATACTTGCAAGAACTCAGTATGGGTCACGAGCAGTACATTAACAGACAAACATCTTTTCTCTCATGGAACTTACATTCTGGTGACAACAGGCATATTACTATATATAGTTTGGTAACAGGACCAGGAAGACAAAAAAAAAAGAACATGGTACATCACCGGAGAGGATGTAGCTTTTATGAAGAGTTTGAATAGGCGTTGAGATAGATTGAAAGAAATCACTGTACTTGCCCTCAAGGAACTTATGGTCAGCAGGGGGGAACAAGTCAATTATACTACAGCTTGAAATAACTGAAAACAAGTCAATTATACTACATAATAATAGATGGAAATATACAATACTATAGGAAAAGAATACTTCCAACATTTTTGGTGCATTTGTACAGTAACTAAAGTAAAAAAGGAGCTGTAACACTAGTTTTCATCACTTTTTGATCTATATTTTATCATTTTTATGTTTTTTTTCCTTTGAAAAATCATGAATAGTTCATTGTCAATAATTCAATGTTGGACAGTCCAGTATATATTGTGCTATGAAATTTTTATGGCTATCTGTGAACAGTGATTCATGTTACAAGAGAAAATATCTCGCTGACAGCAGCTGTGGGTAGCCAAATGAAGCATTTCTACCACCTGTTACTATCTTCTCCCTGGTCTGGATTGGCTTGCTGCTACCATTTCCCTTGGCCTCCTAGGAATGATATCAGGGAATTCACAAAACTTGCTCCTCTGAGCCCTCAAGGACTGCCAACCCGTAGGAGGGCTTAGATGGGTAAGTTCTTTAAGAAGAAGAAAGATCTCTCGGGTGACAACTGTATCATCTTTCTTAAGCATGGAGCCGAGGAAGGCAGAATGTGTGGCCATATTGACCGAGTTCTCACATTTCTTCCACAAGGGAGAGGGAGGCCAGGGGGAATCTTACCTCTCTGTCAACCATACCCTTTGATCTACGAACCCTAGCCTTCACAAAAAGGAGAGAGCTGTAGACTCCCGTCTTCACTTTATACCTAAAGTATCAGAAAAGGGTTGTATGTTTTCCTAATTACCTTAGAGTTAATCAGCAGGAATGGGGGATAAATAAAAGCATGAAGGAGGTGTTAAAAGTCAGAGGTGGTTCATTTTATTCCCCGTTGTTAACTCGCTGAATGAGGACTCTTGTCCCAAGCCCTTTTCTTGAGTAGGTCAGAACACTGAGAACCCTGCGGGCTGGCAGCACGCTCCCTGTCTGCTGGGTTAGGTCCCACATAGGTACACTCAGTCGGAAAGCACCGGGTATTTAAAAGGGCTCTCACCATATAGGCGCTGAGCAAGGTCAGTCATCTCCTGAATCCTTTCTTCTTGCTGAGGCACTGAAGGCATGATAAACTTATTGAATTGCTGGTGGAGGATGGCCACAGCTTCTTTCGTCTTGCATTCTGTGGAATATTTTCCAACTCTTACCACTGTGGCGCTTGCATCTTCGTGCCAAAAGTCATACTGAGTCAAGAGGGAACAAAGCACAGAGGAAGAAATCAGCGTCCTACTGAAGCTCTGGATGGTACGCTCTGAAGTAATCACGTTTCAATTTCCACAGGTTAAGCTTTCTAAGTCACAGTAAAGAAAATATAAAACCAAATCATTTTGCCCTTGAACACTAAAAGCAGAAAAGAAAAATTCACGAAAATATGAATGGTGGTGTCTGAATGTTGAGTGAATAGATAGTAATAACTTCTTTTCCTTGCATATCCATACTTTCAAAAGTCTATTTTAGAAATCTACATGTATTTAAAAGCTATTATATTTTGAAATTGATTTTTAGTTTCAATTTACTGTCAAGATGTCATTCCATATAAAATATCTGTAGATATTTTAAGTGAAGCAACATAAAATAGTTAACATTTTAATCAAATTGTTCTGGAGTTATAAGAAATATAGAAATCCTGACAAATAGTAGGTTGGGAGTTATATTTTCCAGATTCATTGTGTGAGAGATGAAATCCAAATGGTTAAAATAAGATGTAAATGGCCTGTATGGAATCTTACAGTCGCTACTCACACAACGTTATGACAATGTCATTACATCCCTTTTGGGTTGTAAAGAATGATTAAGTCCAAACTTTTTAACTATGATAACTATTTCAATATATTTCAGACGGAGAAAAGACTTACTTAATCAGTGTGTCAAAATCCTACTATGCTTTTAATACCATACTTGTATAATGGGTCAGTAAATGAGTAACTCCAGAAGTCAACTTCTATGTAAAATAGGAATATTGAAATCTCCATCAATTATCTCCGTTTTTGAGGTGAATCTTAAATATCACACAAGAAATCAAAGGTTTTTGAGATAGAACCCAGATTTGTATCAATACTTGTACAAGTTATTCTATTAATTTTGAAAAGACGGTGTAGTTATTACATTCAGAAAAGAAAAAAATGGTAAATAATGAATAAAAATAATCCCACGATTCCTTAAAGTTGGTTGATAAGGGTGCCATATGGCTTATTATTATGAGTGCTCATAGACTCAGTCTATGGCATTGGATCAGAGCCACACCCAAGCTCAAGAACTCACTGCCATTAGCTGATACCAACTGATCACAACCCTGTAGGACAGGCTAAGAACGGCCCCTGTGAGTCTCCTAGACGATAACTCTTTACTGGCGTAGCACAGTCCATCTTTCTCCCATGGAATAGCTGGGAGAAATCTGGGCTTGAACTGCTGACCTTGCCTTTAGCAGGCCAACTTGTAACCAGTAGCCCCCAGGGCCCCCCGAACCTTATAGAGACACTATTATGGAACTCTGCTCTGCTGTAAGTGCCATTTGACCACACGAGGAAAGTCACCTTCCTGGCCATCAGTAAGGTCTCCAGTTTGGCATGTAAAGCTCAGCGATGGGTTCATACCTCCTCCATCATCTCCTGGAGGTGCTCCGTCAAGTCCAAATTCTTCTTATAATCTGTCACAACTCTGTCAAACTCATCCATTTGTTTTCCCAAATCCTTTGTGGCCTCCAAAAGGTCATTAACTTTATTATTTGGATAGATTAATAAAGGATCAGAAATTCTGCTCTCAATTTTTTCCATTTTCCTTTTCAGAGCCTGTGCAACAAGACATTTTTAATAACATTCCATTTTTATTTATTACACTATAGTGACTAAGCATCAAGAGAAAACGTTCGAAGACTTCATGCAGCTTTCTCCACCCTGATTTGTTAAGACTAAAATGATTACAAATGGACTTTGTTTGGGATATTTTATTGACTTAGTATTCATCAAACATACAGAAAATATACTATGTACAAGTTAGAATATGAAAACATGAAAATGATCATAAAATCAAATACATGTCCCATAAACTCATTATCTCCTGGTAAATGTATTCAAATAATCTAATAGTCTGAAGTTAGAAATAAGACAGGGCAGGGCAGTAAAGGAATCTCTTAAGTGGGTAGAATGTAAGAAGAAGAATTAGAGCATACAAAAAGTGTGTATGCATGTGCGTGCATGCGTGTGTGTGTGTGTGTGTGTGTGTGTGTGTGTGTGTGTGTGTCTGTTAGGGGAAAGAATGAAAATAAAGCAGATTGGATTTGTTTGGAAGAATCTAGAAACCATTGTGGAATGGCCTCAAGGGACCAATTGCATATTTCACATGAAGATTTCATTTATGATCAAATCTAAAGCTACCCATTTCGTGTCCACGCTGTTTAAGAAAAGCAAACGTTTCTTCAGTTAGGTATCTAGAATTAAGACCAAAAATGCAACTTGAGTGGCACAAAGCATGCACACCCACATCGCGTTCTCGTTACCTGCACTTTGTCAGCATGCATATCAACTTGCTGGATTTGATATTTGAGAGCCTTGAGATGCCGTGCCTTTTCACTTTTCTTAGTGTAATTGAACTTTACATTGTTGAATTTCTTTTTGACGTCTTTGAATGACTCTTTGAGCTGCAGGGCAATAAAAAGAAAGAGGTGTTTTCCTGAAACTAAGCACACAGATACCCACTCGCACAAAATCAGAGTATTCATCATCTTCCAAAGGTGCTCTGAGTGAATTTTCGTAGAAACTAATCTACTACGTGGACATATAAAGTGAATCTAAACATATCCCCCCCAACCTAAGTAATGTTAATACTTTTACGTGTAATTTATAGCTAGAGTTATATCTGGCCTCCGAGCAAGAAAGTCTCTCACTTTCCTAGTCTTTCACAAGATTCTAACCTCTCTGTCTAATGGAGAGTCGTTTGGCGTCGTCATTTCCGTGTGTGTTCTGTGCTCGGTGCGCGAGTGTGAGAGACATCTGTCCTGCAGCCGTCGGCTCCCTGCGCTCTCATCAGGCATCGGGGACAAATTCATGATGGCTGCAAGGGGCTCTGCAGGTGACAGACACCAGTGGAGTATTGTATGTCACCTTCCAAGATATTTGCCGTTTCTGTATATTAACCAATGATTAGGCAGTATTATATTATTAAAAGATTCGGGAACCGATTACATGGAACTGTGTGTGACCTCCTCCCTGGGGGACAGACAACCGAAAAGTGGGTGAAGGGAGACGTTGGACAGGGCAAGATATAACAAAATACCCATTTATAAACTATCAAGGGCTCATGAGGGAGGGGGGAGCGGGGAGGGAGGGGAAAAATGAGGACCTAATGTCGGGGGTTTGAATGGAGAGAAAATGTTTTGAGAAACGATGAACAAATGCACTTTACACAATTGATGTGTGTATGGATTGGGATAACAGTTGTATGAGCCCCTAATAAAATGTTAAAACAAAAAGAAAGAAAATGATGGTGGCAGCAATTGTATAATTATGCTTAATTGAATTGAATTAGGGTTCATTATATTATATGTAAGGGCTCCCAATAAAATGATTTTTAAAAAAAGAAAAAAAAAAGATCCAACATGAGATTTAACAGGTGAAAAAATATTTTTTAATGAACATTGTCTAGAAGGTCCTTCGTAATAAAAAAGAAGCGACAGTTGCTTGCAATGATGGTGATTCTGTGCGTAAACCAAGCTTAAGGCTAACTATTAAGAATCCATTGTTGACTGAAAGCCTTATAGGTCTTACAAATAGTTCAACTTTACCTGTGCACCAAAAGTTTAAGCAGTCTTATTCCACTAAACACACCCCTTATGTGCCCTCTCTGTCTTCAAGAAGGTTAAGCAAATCCCTTTTTAAATGATCAGCCAAGAAAATTACAGAGAAAATATTAACCTTCTCTTATTATATGGAGGTATTTATTCTAAGAGTTAATAATATCGAGGTTGATAAATTTCAGCTATGATAGGAAAATCAGAAAAACTCATAAAAATTCTTTAAAATTACAGCAAACAAATTGCTCGTAAAGGACTAAAGACCGTGCACAGGCTGGATTTTAGATTTCTAATGTTGGAAAAAAGTATCTTCGCTAGAAAATGCTCTCTTAAAATGCTTATCTGGAATTCTGCGTATAGTGAAAACAGCGCCTATGCCATCTCGTAGCACGTGTGGAAGACAGGCACCTGTAGAGCCCTAGCAGGTGTGCATGCATAGAGATTACTGTGCTGATGCAATTATTGCACCTGACACATCTATACATAATCAGTGCTGTGTATTTCAAATGGCAAATTAAGTTGTTGAACATTAGTTTTAAATATAAACTAAACTAAGCTTGGAGACCACATAAAACATTTTGACAAATCACTGACATTCAGAAGGAAGGAAAAAGCTACAACATCAAAGTTTGAAAACGATTTTTTCTGTTAGAGCTCAGTAAAAGTGGAAGAGATCATAGTCCAGGTGTTTGCTTCTGATATAGACAATAGAAATAAAATGTGATGACGTGTATTACTTAGAAGTGCATGTATTTCTTTTAGCAGAACAAATAAGGTCGTTGCAGGGGGCTGAGATGCAAAGTGCCTGTGCCCTTAGTCATTCACATAAAACTTCGGCAGGAACTTTTCCCCCACAGAGTCCAAATCTACACATGCAAGTGTAATAACTACCGTAGCTGAGGAAACCAAAAATTATGTCCTATCATTAACATTCATATATGAAAAACTGCAATTTTATTTTTTTAATAAAAATCTGTTTTCCTACTGGAATCTGACATGCTTTGTAGCTTCCACAGAAAGTAACAGCAGCTCTATCATCATGTGATAACTGCTCCGTCTGCATATATGCATGGGAAAGATAAAGTCCACTTAACCATAGTGCGATGAGCAATTGAAAAACTATATAGGAAGGGTAAAAAATATATGGTGATGCTGAACACGAATTCTAAACTTTGAAATTTCAAATCTATGTCAGATTAAGAAATTTAAGACTGATAAATGATGATGAGTGCAATTTTATTTCTGTTGGCCTTGGAATGTAAATCTCTCCTCTGAAGATGATTTATAAGGCCACAGAGAGTTCGTGGCACGGTGGGTATATGAAATGCGATCAGCTACTTTGTGAAATGTGAGCACTGTCCATGAGTCTTCAGTTGCTTGGACTTTACTCTGGTTCCACTGGAATTCCATCTGAAATCTAAACTCCAGTGCATTTCCCAATTCAGATTCAGGTTTACTGCAAATGGGAGGTAGTATGTGCTTGACCTACCTTCAACCCCTGAAAATCCAGCCCTACTGACTTATGTTACCTGCATATTGCAATGAGGACATTTCACTTTCTCTATAACCCCCACATAAACTGTGGTCATATTTTAAAAATAACTGAGCACTGTGGTTGCTTGGCTGTGGTATCATTGTTCACGCAGCTGTTTCTAACTTCGGTCAGCTTGTCAACAATGGGAAATGGGGGAGATGGCTAAGACAACTGCTCATCCTGAACACATAGTCAGAAGAAAACACCTAAATGTGGGATATGGAAAATGGCCCTATTAGAAGTATTTAAATGTTGTTGTAATTCACGTTAATAAAACCTTGAGAAAAATCAGGGATTTTGTTCTCCTAATAAATAATGTGACTTTCTTATCTTTCCACTTGCCTCATTCTTCCATATTTGCAATGGAATAAGCAGGCTAAATTAAAATGATGGTGACGAGGGAACAAATTACTAAAGATTTGAAAATCGTGGTTCTTTTGAAACTAGTAGATGCGGATCTTCACCAAATTCCCCAGGAAGCTCTCTCTTGAGATCAGGAACCAGCAAGGTTTCTTTTGAGACATAGCATAAGAGGGAGCGAGACATGGAGACGTGAGGCTGCTGGCTATTCTTAGTTTTGACTAAGCAGGTTGAGGCAGATTAGACACAAGAATGCCCCTGTTTAAGCCTGTTGCTGGCCAGGTCAATTTACACGAAGGACATAAGCCGTTTGAAACCTGAGGAAGTCCACCGTGGATGCCTGGATAGGCACTCGGGCGAGATGGATCTGTGAAGGAGAGTGGGACAATATGCAAGCATATATATAGGTTTTACAGGGGATTTTTTAAAACATGAATATTTAACTATACTGCAAATGTAGGTGCCCTGGTGGTATCGTGGTTATACACTGTTAGCAAAGGTAACAGTTCGAAACCACCAGCCAGCTCCAAGGGAGAAAGACGGGGTTTTCTACTCTCATAAACAGCGTCTTGGAAACACCATGCTTGATCTAGCTCCCTGATAGAATATCCCTGTCTAATTTTTATATAGTAAAAAAAAAATAGTGTAATATATAGCTTTTAATTCTAGCAATGCTTTCAGTACCAGTAGCTAAAGAAAGAAGAACATGTCTATTTAGATACTACTAATACGTACTGGGGATATGCCTTGTGATTGCTTTCCCATTTAGGCTTGTCTTTTCTTAACAATGCTTATAGTTTTACTGACTTTCACGTATCATATCATTCAACGGTTTAAGCATACTAAAAAGAGTTGTGCAATCATCCCCATAATCAATTTTGTAATGTTTTTTCTTTCGTGTATTCGTTATTATCAGCTCTTCATTTCCCCCACTCTTGCCTGCCGTAAGCCCAAGGAACAATCTAATGACTGTCTCTGTAGCTTTACTTCTCCTGGATTTTCTAAAAACATGTACAAAATAACAAAAAACCCAACAATAACAGAATAAAGCAGAGAAACCCATACTTAAGAGAAAGCAGAACACGATAAAACGAGAACAAATTTAACATGAATCCAAAGGGAGGGTCACGTATGTGCTCAATTTCAACCTGATTGTACAACCCCTCATGAGATGATGGGCCCATGGAATTGTATGCTATGTGAATTATGTGCAAATAAAACTGTTGTAAAACGCAAAAGAAAAGGAAAAAGACTATAGCAACAGAAAAAATTCACCTAACTCTATCTTCATTAATTCACTCCCCACTAGGCTTGTCTTGTTGGACACTCCAGGATGTGGATGTTATACTGTGATCTGAGATGCCTACAGTATCACCATAAGAAAGGGAGGTGGTGGTGGTGTTGGTGTTGGGAGTTAGTACCAAAGATTTTCTGAGCTTTTTAATGTGAAACTGCACCTGCATCAAAGATTGGTTTGGTTCGAAGTAGAAGCAAGTGGGAAGAGCCCCTCTCTCAATATAAAAGAGCAGAGTAAAGTGATACCAGTTCCTGAACGAAGCCCTCACGTATCTGGTTGCTCATTCCTGGTATAGTACAGACAATCCCAGGGTGTCCATACTATGACTGCAAGGGACATCTGTCAGTCCAGCCAGCTGGCTTTCAGCACAGGCTCATCACGAGGTGATCCCTGCAAATAGAAGCACTGCCGGCCAGGCCTGAACAGGGAGATTTGGCTCTATAAATGCCATTAACTCACCAGGGAAATGGAAACTGAGCCATAGGGGGCTGGGAATAACTCAGCAGGTTCCACTTGTGCTTTCACTACCCGTAGATCTGAACCATCTCTGAAGGGAGGGGGATTTTGGGCAAGACAGTGGCACTAAAAGTGAGAGATACCTTTGGGGATAGATCCTGTAAAATATATTCCTAGGGCTGACATATCCAAATTTTGTAGTCTCGGAAAGAACAATGCTCTCTGATGGTTTTGTTCAAAAGACCTTCACAGGCTTACGGCGGTTGAGTGCTAACTGCACCAACAAAGGTGGAACCGTTAGCACAGGAAGAGACCTTGCTACTACGACAGGATAAACTGCAGTACAAATTGCACCTGAAATGAGTTCATGTCCTTCCGTCCTGAAATTGAGTCTCCCTGGAACACTGACCGGGAGTAGAAACTGCCACCCCATAGCGCATGGGGAAGATCAACACTCGTCGATGGTGATTCTTGTTTCTCTCCTGCAACAGTGACCTCTCCTAACTTTCCTTCCAGCCACCTTCCATTCTCACAATCAGCACATGGTCCTTCAGGAAAGGGTACCGAGGGAGGCTGCAGAGCTAGTCCACCATTAAATGTTGTTACTCTTACTCTGAAGTCAGTCCATGTTGTAATGGCTGATATTTATTGCCCCTCATTTGTGTAACTTGAGCATCAACAGGAAGTTCCAGCAGGAAACTCTTCTCACACCCCGTTTTGCTCATGGACTACTGACTGCAGACAGAAATGGATGGAGATCAATCTGGATTTACAGAGACTCTCATGTTCTATTCCCAGTCAACAAGCAGGACCTTGGCCATGCTTATTTGGGTTTTACACAAAACAAGTAATACTAAGCCTTTGGATAGAGATCTTAGCTGAGAGAGGGTAGTGTTTGTGGTTTAGCAGGGGTCTGGGGCAGGAGGTAGAGGGGTCCGTCTGGAGTTGAGCGAGGGACGCAGGATCATGGGGGTGGAGGGGCGTGAATGTAGAGGGCCACTTTCTCCCGACCATTGTTTGGCTACAACAGCTACTCAGTTCGGTAACTATGAAACCAGCCACGTGATGTGGCTGCTAATACTCTGTAAGCCTCTGAAGGGAAAAACCTGCTCTTCTGGCCCTTAGCATCCATTCATCATGAGTCAATGGGCCTTAAATAGCATCTCAACAGGCTGGAGAGGGCCAAAGTGGGACACTATCATCCCTTTCTCTGGGTTCTGAGGAATCAGTACACGTGTTAGCAAGCCACTGCTTTAAGGATCTGAGCGAGAAAAATAACTCCCCCTCCCCTAAAAACAACAACAACAACAAAGAAACCTTGTAATACTACATTCTAGATTTTTTTCGGCATCGACAACATATTGACTAGTAGGGGAAAATAAAGAAACGACTCATGGTGTGTGTCTGTGTGAGGATAGGTGTCCCTGAGGCAACGACTTTAGGTTCAGAGCAGCTTGCAGCTGCGTGCCAGTGTTCATTGCCCCTCACCTCTTTTATCTCATCTCGGGCGATGCAGTCCTGCAAGCTGCAGGCCAGGGCTCGCTCATATTCCTGCACTTGGGCTCGGCAGTGCACACAGGCCCCCTCCAGGGCGTCCAGCTGCTGCTGCAGGTTCTTTGCAGAGACGTTGGAGCAGTTCTAAAAGTGGCAGAGGGAGGGAAGGAAGCCGCAGCAAGATGAATAAGCTAGTTAGGGACCTGCATTATGAAATGCACAAATGACACATTTAAAAAAAGAATTAGGCTCCTGATTTGTTTTACCTTAAGCATATTTGAGCATTATTATCTCAGAAAGAAGCCAGGCACCCAACATTCTGGGAGAGGCAAACCAGCACATTTCTAGTCTTGAATCTCAAGTTTTGATGATTTCCTCATCACACTCAAATCCCTCAAGACACCATTCATTATAAGATATAATTTTTACTTCAAAAGGCATAAAATATGTATTAGAAATACTCATCTCCTGCACTATAATTTTCCTGTCAACTTACGCTTGACCTCAGGTTCATTATGCAAGTGCTCCCATCTCTACTCAACTCAGAGGGCTGCTGGGGCCAAGGCCAGACGTGGAGAGGAGGACAATTCACATTTTTTGGCAAAGTGAGACATCTAGCATTCTTTTAAAAATAAATCCACCAGTAGAATCAAACTCTTAAAAAGGAAGCCTTTTCTTGGTTAAAAAAAAAAAAAAAGGTTGTATTAACAGGAACATATATTTTCATATCTCTAGGCCTTTCAGTTAACAAAATAGGTTCCTGAATTCCATATGATTGATTCTGACCAATGGAGACCTCAGATGCATCAGAATAAAGCTGTGTGCCACAGAGATTTTAGAAGTAGCTCACCAGGCCTTTCTGCTGAAGAACCTAAAAGGAAATGGCCAACCTTTCAGTTACAGACAAGTGCTAATTTACCATGTGTACCACCCAGGGACGGAGATCCATGGATTTCAGCGTCTCGTGAGATGAACCTTCTACCCCGTAAAGCGTTACCCTGGAAACCCACAGGGGCAGTTCGTTCTACCCTCTCTTAGAGGGTCATGTGAGTTGGAATTCACTCCATGGCAGTGGTTTGTTTGTTTTGTTGTTTGGTTAGTGAACTTTAAAATTAAAAATTGCTTATATATTTTAAGTTATAAGACAGATATTGGAGAAATTTAATTTAATTTTTCCTCCTCAAATTAGGAGCTTGGGGAAGACTTTTTAAAAAATCAGTCTAGTATGTATTATTTATGAGAATTGTATTTGTAAATACATCTTTGTCATTTAGGCTCCTCTTCTGAAGTCACCCGAGAGTGTAGACAGACCCAGTGACCAGGGCCCAGGGCACACTGGTGAGGTGGGGCTCTTTCTGCCTACTGATCGCAAGGGAGAAGGCAGTCCGTTTCTCCGAGTCTCAGGTCCTCAGCTCGAGAATCTTTGCTAAAGCAGAATTATCCAATAGAAAAATGTAAGCCACCTAAGTAATTTAAAATTTTCTAGTAGATATATTTAAAATACTTTAAAATAAGTCCAATTAATGTTCACGATACATTTTGTTTAACCTAATATAACTAAGTACCTTCATTTTGACCTGTAAACAATACAAAACAATTTTTTCCCCCATTTAACTAGGTCTGAGATCTGGTGTGTATTTCAATGTTACAGCACATCTCAGTTCTGTTGCTATATGCCCATCAAAAATATTTGAGGTGTGTTTAGATTTTATAAAATTTACAGTTTAAAAAGTACATTCACATGCTCAAGTTGTTCCCAACAGACTTGTGTTCTAATAACTATATTGAGTATTGGTTTTAAATTTTTAATTAAAATAAAATAAAACCCAAAGCTTAGTTCTTCAGTTGCTTTCGCCAAATGTTCAGCGCTAAAGAAATGACTGCCAAATTAGAGAGTATAGATATAAAATACGAGTGGGTGCCCCCCAAAACAGCAAAAGTCTCTGCTGAGCAGAGCTTTCCCAGTACACATTCTTCCTGCTAGGCGAGCATAGCAACGCGCTCTGAGGAAGTGCACTCAGTGGCGTCACCTGGGAAAGCTCTCTGTGGTCACAATGAATTTTTTCTTAAGAGCGGTTACACTCAAACCTCATTTTTTTAATTTACAATGGCCAATTTAAGAGAACAGCATGTGGCTGTGAAATTGTGTTTCCTGCTCAGGAAAAAGGCCACAGAAACTGTTTACATGTTGAACACAACCTACAAGGACAGCGCTATGGGGAAAACTCAGTGCACTAGTGGCTTTCTCATTTCAGAACAGTGAAATGGTCGTTGAGAACGAGGGGCAGTGCGGAGTGGAGACCCAAAGCCCATCTGCAGACAACAGGCCATCCCCTTACAGAAGGGTTGTGGGGAGGAGACGAGCCAGTCAGGGTGTGGCATAGCAACAGTGAAACATACAACTTTCCTCTAGTTCTTTAGTGCTTCCCACCCCACCCACCCCGCACACACACTATCATGATCCTAATTCTACCTTACAAAGCCAGCTGGACCAGAGGATGTACACTGGTACAGATAGGAACTGGAAACACAGGGAATCCAGGACCGATGATCCCTTCAGGACCAGTGGTGAGATTGCTGATACCGGAAGGGTGGAGGGAAGGTGGGGTAGATAGGGGGAACTGATTACAGTGTAAGACATGACAAAATAATGATAAATTATAAATTATCAAGGGTTCATGAGAAAGGGGGTGGTGGGGAGGGCGGGGAAAAATGAGGCAGTGATACCAAAGGCTCAGGTGGGGGATTGGTGTTTTGAGAGTGATGAGGGCAACAAGTGTGTGGGTGTGCTTGACACAGTAGATGTGTGTGTGGATTGTGGTGGGAGTTGTGCGGGCCCCCAATAATTGATTTTTTTTAAGTAAATAAATAGCATTAAAAAAAAGTGAAAAGTTGATTGAAGACAAACCTTGTTCTGAATGTCTGTCAACTTCCGGAATGAATGAAAATATCAACTTACAGTGCATTTGGAGTTCCACCAGGTCAGACTGTTAGTCAAGCTTTTTATTTAGAGGTTCTGAAAGATTGCATAACAGTGTGCAAAAAAACAAAAAGGCCTGACTTGTGGCCGACAGGGGACTGGTTTTGCCATCACGACAATGCACTTGCTCACACAGCCATCTCAGTGCGCCGGTTTTTGGCAATAAACAGTAGGCCTCTCTTGCCTTACACACCTGACCTTGCTCCCTGCGACTCCTTTTTGTTTCCATGGATGCAGAGGGACATGAAAGGATGGCAATTTGGTGACATAGAAGAGGTGAAGAAAGCAATGAGCTGAGGTCAGCCATCCAAACAGATGAATGAGAAATGCTTTCAAGAATGGAATTGCAGATTGAACAAATGTATTAAGTGTAAACAGAGAGTATTTTGAAGGTGATAAGGTTGTTTTGTCAAAAAAAAGTTTAAATACATGGCTTCGAAAAACTTTCCAGTTTTGGGGGGGTTCCCCCCACCGCATATAAACTCTTACTTTTTTTCTGGGGGTGGGGTTGGTACTTGAAGTTGTATTTCTTTAAGCTTTGAATAAATCTTGGAAAACTCTTACTCTATAAACTCTTGTGAGAATAAAGAAGTTTTTTATTTCTCACTTTTTCTCCTTATTTTTTGCTTTTATTGTAAACAAAAAATCATAGTCATTGTTGTTGAGTTGATTCTGACTCACAGTGACCTGCATGGCAGGGTAGAACTCCCTCTTGGGATTTCCTGAGCTATGATCTTTATGGCAGCCAACCGCCATGTCTCTTTCCCATGGAGCCGCTGGTGGTTCAAACCAGTGACTTTCCAGTTATAAATCAAGTACTTGAGCCAATAGGTTCTTTGTTTTTATGATGGGTGGTAGAAACTCGCCACCTATTTTCTGCCCTGATGATTTAGTGCATTTCTCACATATACTAGGCAATCTGGTTTAGTTTCCATTACATCCCAAATCCCAGCCATAACTGGGCTTAAATAGTAATATCCAAAGTTGCTTACGGGTTTCTGCACTGATGAGATGATGCCCACTCCCAGGGCGAGGGCCAGCTTGTGGAGATGGTCCATATGTGCCTGCTTGTCCCGTGCATGGCTGAGGAGAACCTGGGCGTCACGAACACCCCCTGGTTCCCTTAGCGGCTCTAGAAACTCCAGTTCTCTGGATTTGATGAGATGTTCCAGCTGAAATGGAGACATTGCCAAGTGGCCTGAGCTTATAAGTTGAATAATAACACCAGAGAGGTACACGCTCCTGAGAACAATCAGCTCTAGGAGAACAAAGGGCAGCATTTATCCAGGGATGAAACTCAGAAGACAGGAAGGCACAGGGAAGGATAAGTGGAAACTGGAAGCGCAGAGAGGAAGTGGAGAGAGTGCTGCTACTTTGAAGGGTTTGCAAGCGTTGTCACAAAAGAAAATGTGAACACATGGCCGAGTGGGGACATTGTTTATTCGCACTGTAAACTTCAACCCAAATTACAATAAAAAGTTTTAAAAATACTAATAACTCAGGTTTCACATTTATAAAATACCTTAAAGAAAAATCCTAAAATCTTATACTAGCTGGTCAAAGTGCTGCCTGGGCCATCCTTAGTGATTGCTGTCATGGCCAAATTAAAGTTAAAAGCAGAACAAAAATCCCACAAACCAATTGTTGGTCAGTCAATTCCAATGCACAGAGATCCCATCTGACAGACTCAAACTGCCCCACAGGGTTTCCAGGGGACCAAGTGGCCCAGGAGCTGTAATCTTTATGGAACCTGGCTGCCATATGCTTTTCCTGTGGAGCAATTAGCGAGTTTGAACCATCCACCTTCTGGTTCGCAGCCTAGCATTGACCACTGAGCAACCAGAAGTCCTTGAACGGATGTGATAGTGTTGGAAATTAAGGGACCTAGGTAAAATTGAGGGACCAACAAAGTCAATTCTATTAAAGAAGAAAACATGCTTTTTTCTGCTCTAGAACATAAAACATTCGAAAGGTCTAAGAGTCTGATCTGGCCGAATCCAGGAGGTGATTTGAACAACGTATCTCTTTTCTGTGATAGTAACTCTAAAGATCTTTTTTTAAAGAAAGAAAAACAAGAACATTTGCTTATTCTTTTACCTTGTCAAGATTTGAGGATACCAAGAAAGTGAACTTGGTTTTGCCACTGAAAAGCTGGTACCCCCTTGAGCAGGGAGGAAAGCTATATTCGTCAAGAGAATTGAGATGCTGAAAATGCCAGATATGGGGAACACAAGAAGTGAGCGCCCCTGGAATTCAGAAGAAACAGAAATCCCTGCAAGCGAGACGGGCTGGATGGGAGGAGATGCAGGGTTTTGATGGGAGAGGGAGAGGAGGAGCTGCCAGGCCAGGGAGCCTGAAAGTCAGGAATCAGAGGCGCTGTATCACATGTACCACTGGAGGGACAAAGAGCCTCCACTCAACTGAAGGATAAGGGAGGACAGGGACCTAGTGAGAGAAACGTTTAGGGATAGATTGTGTAAAACTTCGAATAATATCAGACTAAGCAGGTTTGCTCTTATGTAAATATATTTATAAATTCTGTAGATTAAATCTCAGAGTTTTCCACATATCCATGATAAGTCTTACCTCTTCCTTTACTTGGTGGAATTGGACTACCTTGTACAGGATATCTTCGTAATCTTGCATTCTCTCTTTCTGCTTTTGATGGAGGTGAATAAGGTCCCTCAGTTGTTCTGCCTTCTCTTTCATGGGGGCTCCTTTACCACTTAACTCTTCTGATACTTTTACAATGTACTGGACCTCATCATTCAGTTGCTAAAAAAATGAAAAGCAACAGAAATAAACCTGGCTTTTAGAGAGGTTACTTGATGACCCAAAATATTAAAAACAAAACCTAAGTTCTAAGTCATCCTCTCCTTTGTTAACAAATGCGTGCTGTGAACCCCCTCAAATCCCAGGCTCTGTGCTTGCCACTCAAATAAAAACCAAGTCCACTGCCACTGAGTCTACGCCTACTCATAATGACCCTAGACAGGGTGTCTGAAATCTTAAATCTTCAGGGGAGCAGACAACCTCATCTTACCCTTGCAGATCCCCTGGTAGATTTGAACCCAATGTTGTGGTAAGCAACCCAATACTTAACCCATCATCAATGCTCATTGTTCTTGCTGCTAGAAATACGTCAATCCATCCCATTTTCTCACAGATGAAAGAGAGACAGTTCCTTCCGAGTTCCGACCACCCAACCTAACCATTGGCCAAAGCCAATGAATCAGTATACAGTGCCCGCCCCCAAACACTCAAAACCCTACACACAAACAAAAAGACTCTTGCAAGTGGCTCTCTAACAAGTCACTATCGATCTATCCTACTTTGAAGCAAAGTAAGAGGAAGAAGATAAAACAAAAAAACGAGGAAACAATTAGTCCAAAGTCCAAAGGATCCTGCAAAGCAGAACTAAATGGTGCCTAGCTAAGACTACTGGCCACTTGATCAATTGCAAGAGAGAGTTGGGAAAAAAAGCAAACTAAAACAAAATTCAAAACCCTAAGAGAGTAGATGTGTTGGTCTAATAGGGACAGGTGGAACTCCCAAGGCTGTGACCCTATCTGAAAGCCTTATCCTGGGCCCCCCTCCAGGGATCAACTGTCAGCCAAACACTCGAGAGGCCTATACAGTGAATAATCACACCAGGGAGAAGTGTACTCCGCAGCACAGTGTACATGCAAGAGGAAGCAGCCAGCGTCTGCCCAAAGACGGGGCAGGAAGGGTCAAGAAGAAATGGCAGCCCAGAGGCAGAGGGAAGACTGCTGTTCTAGGAGGGGACTAGAACCCGTGTCAAGAAAATGAAGGTCTATAAATTGCGAACAGGAAATGAATACACTCTGTAAATGTTCCCCCAAAGTTCAACAAATACTTAAAAGGTCTTGGTAAATGTTTCCAAATTAGATTGGTACTTCGTACGTTCCAACTATTCCAATCACCTCAGAGGTACATGTGTTGGAAGGTGGTTTGAATCTCAATAATAGTCTCTGCTGTTTCATACAGACATGATAAGCACACCAGGAGCTGACGTGTGTGTGTGGGGATGATGAGAAGGAAGCCCAGCAGAACGGCACCGTGGCGATGCTGCCTCCAATGCAGTCGTCCGGAAGCCACAAATAGGCAGCATGGGGAGGAAAGGGTCACAGGACTCTGTTTTATATAGCGTGGCTCAAATAGCCCTTCATGGTGTCTAGACCCTTGGGTAGACATCTTGAAAATGGGTACACAACTTAAACAGGGAGCTTGCATAAAATGTCACAGCTGGCTAATGCACTGAAGATAAAAGTAATGGAAATAGTTTTGTCTCAGAAGTTAAGTTGCGTTAGTCAATTTCAAGTTCAAACTACGCGAGTGGGCATCATTGCAGTGCTAGAGCTAAAGAAACATGGTTCCTGACTTTGAGGGACTGGCACAGACACACAAGCACACACCAGAAAACGCAAACAGCCCCCTAAGACTGGGTAAATGGGGCAACCTCACCTGTAGTCTAGTGGAGATATATTTTCTTGAAGTATGAATGAAAAAATTAGCTCATTTCAAGCTAAGATAGTGTGTATCAGTGCGGCATGATGGTGGTCATACACTGGTAAATCACCTCAGTTTTGTTTTAAAGGAATATACAATTAGATATTCCCTACAGAAATCTTCAGTCTTTGGATTCTGGGTCTTTCCAAAGTCAATACGTATAAAGCAGTGCTAGACAGAAGCACGGTGTCTTAAATTTGCAGCGAAGCATAAGACTCCAGGCAAAGGATCACATGTCTGGCAACCATTGTTGCCAGTTGTGTCAAGGTCAGTAGAGACTGGAGGTGGGACGTATGGAATGTGCAAAGCAGTGAAGAGCCAGGGACGTGAATCATCATTTTATCACTTCAAGGACAAACGGGAGAGGCTAGCAAAAATCCTGGGATGATATGAGGCAGGTGGGTTACTGTGGGGACACAGTGATTTCAGTGGTTGAGGGGTACAGAACCCATCCTTGAGGTTGCTCATCCTTGTTGTCAGACATCTCAATCTAAAACACTTCCATCACCTTACAATGTCCTCAGAATGATCACATTCATTACTGATATATAGTCATATGGAACAATGTAAGATAAATAAAATAAGACTAAAAATAGCAGAGACATTTTTGGCCTTCATATTTTGGCCAAATACAAACATGGCAGAACTACAAAGAAAGGAAAAATGTTCTCACAATGGATCGTTAGACAAATAATATATTCTTAAAGTATCAACTACCCGTCTGCCAAAATTAATCAGGTGAATCACAAGAGAATAATTTTTAAGTTATGTTTCATTCACTGTAATCCATCAACCTTTGTCTTCACCTGGAACTGCGGCTTCATTTCATTCCATTTTCTCCGGAGATCTAAGATGGACTGGGGGGTACCTCCAAGGTCTAGTGCAGACACTGGCGTAAGTGCTGCCTGAAGAAGTTTTAAGTTGTGAGTCGTCTGAAACCAACAATGAACAAAAATGAGTGTCCCCTGCTTCCTTGGGCATCACCTACACACCTACACATGTGTTACAATCACTCTTGTGAGGACTTGCAGTTAGTAGACTTCTCAATCCTCATGAAAGCATGCACTACCCAGACTTCATTCTTGGCTTTGGCCCACCATCGATCAAGTCCTGGGTGGTTTTACCTTTCTGAGATGCTCTTTGAAAGCTGCCCACTGCTGTCTCACAGGTTTGTTTCCGGAGGTCTTAACCTGCCATGCCACCCGCAGGCAGGACAGTGCTTCCGTCTCGGCCTTCTGGTTCTCCAAGGTGCTGCCCATGATGCGTGCTTCATTTCTCACATTCAGTATCTCACTCTCTTGGGACTGTGAAATGAATAATCCAAACTAGTCCATTTCCTTCCCAAGAGATAAAAACAATTTTGCACATCACCGTATTAGGCACCAAACTATTTTGTCACAGCTCAAGCTCGGGCCCCTGGTTCTGCCACTCACAGGTTGCCTGTGTGCGGGCACATTTTAACTCTCAGATCCCTTCTCTGGTGAGTTCTTCAAAACCTTGGTGGTCTTTGGATGGCCCCTCGGGTTCGGTTATCTCTTGGGGGGCTGAGGAATGATTTATGAAACTCCGGAATCCAGAACTTAGAATTCCAAAGATTTTAAATGACTTAGGTTTAAAGTATAAAGTTAAGTAAAAGGCTGTTGGTGTTGGGGTGTCAGTTCACACTTGCTTGCACACCAAAGAAACTGTGGGTAAGCATGCCTTTGGAGATTGCTGCGTGCACGTTTTCTCGGGCATGCAAAGGCAGAAATGTCAGCTCAGTAGGTTATAGCCACTCTCCTGGGGGATTTACAAGGGATGACCTTGATAGATTTTATTGAAACTGTAAGAAAATTGAAAACTGCATTGGGGAGAAATAGGAAAGTTGCACTGAGCAATTGTTTGCCATCACAACAGTGCACCTGTTCATTAAGTTGTTCGACTCAAATATTTTTGGGGGGCGTTATCCACCCTACAGAGCTAATCTTGCCCCTTCAAACTTCTTTTCCCTCATAAACTCTACGAACACTTCAAATGATATGATCTGAGTCCCTCAAGTCAGCCCACACGGTCATTCTGATATCATATAAATGAGAGTGCAGAAGTTGATGGGGGAAGAGGCGGAGAAGCGGAAGCACCACCTTCAGAAGTACATAGAGCTCGATGAAGAATATATTTAGACATAACAGCTTCACATTTTGATATTTTTGTTTAACAAGGATTTCTATGAATTTTTTTTGCAATATGTTTTACTTACCTCGGAAATGACATCTATTATTTAACATAGCCATTAGAATGTGTTAAAAAATCTCAATGTCAGGGAATATGAGAGAGCAGGCTTTAGGAGGCCTCTTTTTTTGTTTGTTTTCAAATTATCATGTTGTACACATTACAATTATTTTAAAAATTTCCTTGTAAGTAGCTCCTCAAGTTACTCCCTATTGTGTGAGAACTGAAATAAAATTTTAAACTATAACCAATAATATTCAATGTGCTGTGAAAATGATGCTATGAGTTAGAATCAACTCAAAAGCATTGGATTTGGTTTTGAGTGTTGGGCTATACCTAAAGTGATACAGTCTTTCACATCTTGTTAATAAACTATTAGTGAAAATACAATATAACATATAATCTTGGAAATTGTAGGTAATTATAAACAGAAGGGCACGTGGTCTGAGAGAGACCAGCAGAAGGGAGGGCTGCAGACTGGAGTAGGGTTGGTTTAGCCGGCAGGGACAAGAGAAGAGTGACCATGCATTCGGCAGACTTCAGGACTCTGGCCACTCAGGAAAGGTAACCAACTTGTCTACAGTCGAATTAGTAAACATATTTTATTCATTCTAGTTTTGTGACGGGGCATGGTAAAACTCTGCCTCAGTCTGTTCAGAACAAGGAACTACGTTATCTGTCTTCTATCGAGATTCATACACAATACATGGTCTTCTGATGCCTTGTTTTACATAAATCTGAGTAACAGGAAGCAGTACCCATGATAGAAGCCTTGGCCCTCAACACTATAAATTAGTGAATTGGCACTTTCATCAATAAGTTTGCCAAGATATTTGGCTTGAATCAATTTCTCCAATCTTCATTTCTACATGAAATAAAAATATCCCCCTTTAAATTTGAAAATATAAATCACAGTAACTCAATCAAGGGCTGAAATCAATCAATCAGTTGAAAATAGTAGCTGGCCTCTTAACAATAAAATGTGTTATGTACAAGTTGTCCATAACAATTTCATTTCTTAAATAACAATTTCATTGCTCAGAATTTCACTGAACCAATAAAATTAAAACCTTAATTCTTGTCAATAAGTTGGAACTTACTTGTCATATGATATTAATAGAAAATTTAAGATTAAGTGACAATGTTTATAATATCAAGGAAAGAGAATACCCATGTATCTAGTAAAATACACACTATTGTCATCAGATGAACATTAAACACCATGATGACCTAAGTTTATTTAGAACATGTAGACATAATTGACTTGGAGTGGGAAGGTTCCTCTTGAATCATAAACATCTTACTGTACAAACATCCTAGATAAGTAAGAAAAGCAAAAAGGACAAAAAATACACTTGTGTTTATACGTAGAGAAGGAGCCGGTGACAGAGCAGTGTTTGTGCTTAGAACAATTAGAAACTATGGATAAAATGTAGAAAGCATGTACTTGAAGGCAGCAGAAAGATGGGGAGATGAGATTAAAAAGATGCTAAGACTTAGGAGAGTAGAGGATCTGAAAGGCGTGAGTTTTTACCCCACAGATATTGATCAATTGTATGCCCAGACAAGAAAGCAGCCATGCTGGTACTGTAGGCAACCACTGGACTGCTAACCCCAAGGTTGGTGGGTCAAACCTACCAGCTGCTCCAATGGAGAAAAATGAGGCTGTCTGCTCCCATAAAGAACTTCAGACTCAGAAACACTACATGGGGTTGCTGTGAGTCATAATCAGGAACCCTGCTGGCACAGTGGCTACGAATTGGGCTGAAACCACCTGGAGGGAAAAATGAGGCTTTCCATTCCTGTAAAGTTACAGTCTTGGAAACCCCCAGAGACAGTTCTACCATATCCTATGTGTTAGGATAGACTCAATAGCAATGAATGAGGTGAGTCATAATCAAACCCATGACAGTAAGTTTTGGATGTTATGGAGAAAATAGCAGGTGTCAGCTACCTTGGAAAATGTACAGAAAATATAAGAAGGGCCAGAAATTTAGGGTAAAGAAAATGCTCTGAACTTTCAAAGGGATAATGGTTTTGGCTACAAAATTTGCAGAATGGTAAGCTTCGTATTGAATACATGCACGTATCAATCAGCGAGCATTTGGAAAAGATTGCCCTGTTCACTAGGAGCCTACCTAATTTATACCAATTATATTTATCAATTGATAGGGTGCTATGTATATCTACCTTGTTTTGAGTAGTGTGTTTGAGAAAATTTACTGTTAGAGATTTAAGAATGATGGTGTGAAATGGTGGTTGTATTCAAGTACTATTGGGAGTGCCTACGATGATATAAAACCCTGTTAATCAACTGATTGATCACTTAATGGATTAGGATGCCAACCTTCCCTTTAGACACTTTTGTTAAGGACCAACTGCAACCACAGAAGGCACATTTAGCAAGTTTACAGGATTAAACCCAGAGGGATAGTAAGTATAGTAGGTAACAGGAAAATCATGAGCAGAGACTAACAAATTTAAATTCATAGGGATAAGCAGAAAGACCCACCTTTGCCTGAGAAAAATGGTGATGCAGATGCACAAAGAGAATGATATGGTTTGGCAGTATTTGCAAAAATAAAATGGTAAAGGGAATTTACTCAAACTCAAGCTTAATATAAGCCAGTGAAGTGGTTATTACTAAAACATTAGCATAATTTTAGGTTTCATTAATAAAGATCCATGCCCAGATTATTGTACTCTACGTTGATATGCAATCCTTCATTTTTCTGGTTACATTTTACTGATGATTTTGAAATACAAGGATAAGTCAAAAAGTATCGCTCCTGGGTTTTCAATTCCTACATTCAGGGAGCGCTTCCAGACAAACTGCTCAAACACGTTTCCGCCCTCGGGGGCTGGCTGTCCACAGCTTTCTCAGTCACAGACTCATCTCAGCCTCATTAGCGCGTCTTCAACAGGAGGCCCAATCACACTGATGGCTACCAACCAGATGCTCTGGTCCAGTTCAATTCAAGGCAGAGAAGTCAGCTCAGAAGCTGAGGGCAACTGTGTAGGGGCTCTTCTAAGGATTCATCTCGATGGATATTTTCAGTGGACACAGGACAGTCAGGGGGCTTGGGATGAAGACATTTTAGGGAAACTGAAAACTACCTTGGTGAGAAAAAGGCCAGGGAAGCTGTTCGGAGGCATGTTTTCCCATTCATGAACCACCGCCCGTTCTCGGACAGCAGCAGGGGCTGTCCAGTGAGTATTTTGGTGGGAAATCTTTCCTCATCCACCTAACAACCCTGATCTTGCCCCTCCAGATTTATCTTTACTTCCTGAAGCTCCAAGAACATTTCAATGAAATATGATTTGAGAAGAGGTATGCACTACTACGTTTGCAGTCAATTGACACACATAGATGTCTTTGGGGGAAGTGTTCGAGAGATGGAAACACTATTTTCAGAAGTGTAGAAAGCTTCGCATTCTGATATTTTTGTTTAATCAAAGTTTCTATGATTTTGTAGCAATACCTTTGTATTTAATCTCATACCCCAATAAAGGATGGAGAGAGAAGTGAGGTTACCTCTTAAAGACAGAAAGGATGTGTTTAACCTGCAGGGAAACAGTTATAAATAACTATTGCTTTCAATATCTGAAGTATTTCCGTATGTAAGAGCATTTCTATGTGAATGTTTCTAAATGCTCGCTACAGAACACTACAACTCGCTATAAAAAGAGCTGAATTCACATTTAAAATGCTTTCTACAGCTGGTGCTTTCCAACAACACAACGAGCCGTTTCTTCTCTCTCTCTGTGGTGTTAAAGGAGAGTTGGAGTAAACCTAGTTTAAGTATTCTATATCTTAAAAGACCAAGGAGAGGGCAGCCACTGAGTGGATTCCAGTTTACAGCGGTTAAGGCCAGCACTGAACCCAACACTCCTGGAAGTCCTGAGGAGCCAATCTGCCCCGCCTCGGCGGTCGCAGAGAGTCTGAATCGTGTGATGGTAGCAGCAGGTTACAGATATCACTCAGGACAGTGAAAATGTTGTGTGACTCAAGACAATGAAGCTTCCCTACAAACAAAAAAAAGTCACGTGGTAGGAAACAAACAAACAAACAAAACAAGCCAACTCTGGCATGGAAAGTCCTCTTACTCCTTATGTGAAGCTGCTGGGCGTTTTATAAGGACGCTGCTGCACATTTGCTTTTGGAGCACGTGGCTGGAATTCTTCTGAAGACCATGGTATAGTAACAACAACAATGCATTTGGATTACAGGCGCTCTCTTTTTAACAGCTACCATAACCTCAGGCCTGCTTCAGATTGAGTGAAGCGGAGCCTTCCTAAACCACCACTACGGATTAATACAAACCCAAAACCAAACTCCCTGCCACCAAATCCATGCTGACTCAGAGCACTGTCAGCATGGGAAACCCTGGGAGTTCCTGAGACGAACTTTTCAGGGGAACAGAAAGTCCGGTCTTTCTCCCGCCGAGCTACTGGTGGTTTCGAACTGAGACCATGTGGATCGCAGCCCGATGCATAACCACTACACTACCAGGGCGCCTAAGAGACGGTTAGCCTTCTGAATTTATGCTTTTGACTCTGACTAGTAATCCATGCAGATAGTGCGAGTCGTTTCATATTATTCTCACCATAGTTATTAAATTAAGGAACTCAAACCCTAAATCTTGGGTGAAAACCTTCTTCTTTAAAAATAGCTGCCACTGTTTCTCAGCTGCGTCACACCAATCCTTGACTTGAGCATCATCCTCCCTCCAAGAGATGGCTGCTTGGTAAATCTCCTTAAGACTCTGAGACTGCTCCGCTACCTAAAAAACATAATATAAAGGAGAATTAAGAACATTTGAACATAGTCTTATAAAAGGACAACAGAGCTAGATTCCACTAAAAACCTACATAAGAGCTAAATTAAAACTACATTTTCAGAATTTTAAAAATCATCATTAAATATTGTCAATTTACTGAAAAGACATGGACATCACACAGGCCATTGGCAGACCAAACTACCACTGGGTCTGAAGTGCAGCTGACAAATTTATTACTCCTGAGAGCAACTTACTGTAGCTAAGATCATAGTTATGTACTGTGAAAACTGTGTGTTTTGTACATTGCTATGATTTACATCAAAGACCAGCCTGGTTCCACACAGAGTGGAGTTTATACTTCAGGAGAAAACACAGGTATAAAGTCAGGAATACAAGTCAGAAAGTAACATTAAGTCAGTGATAGATTATTACTAATTGTTCAATCACAGATTTTGTTTCGGATCAGTGACAAACCTGAACAAAGAAAGTAGAAATAATTACTCATTTTTTGTAGAAGTATTAGTGTTAAACTGCCTCCATGGCTTAACTTATTGAAACACATCTCTTTGTCTCCCTAGAATCACATTTTCCCATTTGTTAACCAATGTAAATGGTATTTGATTATTTTAAATCACTCTCCTTGAACACAGCTTATATAAAAATCAAATGCACCGGCAGAAGTATAGATTAACATGTAACTAACTGGGTGATACAGGAATAGTCAAAAATTTTTTACATAAATGTTATGCATTCTGAATAATCATTAATGGTCAATAGGATGTGACTGGGACTACTGCTCATAACTACTAAAAGCAATCTAAATATGGGAAGAAATTTCAGGCCATGGCCAGTCATGCTATTTCAAAGATTGTAATCCTCTTAATTTAAATGAACTTAATAGAAGAGCTCAGAAACAGTTCTCAGAAACCAAAGACTCTCCATTTCCCTTATCCTATGTAGTCGTTACTCTGTGCTTTGTTGACACTTGCTCTTCAGCCCAGAATAGTCTATGCATCCTTCACTAATATGCCCCTCCAAGGAGCTTTCTAGAATGTTATCAGCTTCATGGGCCATGGGAACAATTCTGAAGGCATAAATCTTAATCTTCCTTCCTTTCCAGATGCTCCAAAAGCCTCTTTCTGGATGCAAGTGAAAGTGATGTCATCATAGGAACCCCCTTGAATTTATTCTAGTGTAATTTTCAGATGTTTTTAAAAATTAAGTTAATTAATGATAAACTTTAATATTTTTGTCAATTGCAGGGTAAGTCACTTACAACGCACTTCCCCAATTATATTTGTTGAGTTTCCCTGAATTTCAGGAGATGTCACCAATGGATTTGCTTCAGAATGATTTTCTGCTGCAAAGAGGGAAGAATGAAGGGTGAACTTGAAGGAGGCAGAGAGAACAGAAAGAAGGCAATTTCATTAAGCTAGGAAGAGATTACAAGGACCTGCCACAGGGAAGCAATGATGGGAGTTCAGATTTTTGAAGGCCAAGCTATCAGGCTGCAACTATAGACCAAAGGAGAGGCATGAGAAAAATGGCAAAATTGAAAAATCAAAACATAATCAGTAGTACTACATATAAGAAAATATAGAGAAGGACTCATTCATGCTACACTGGAATAGAGACATCATTTTATGGGAGAGAGGGGAGACTGGGTGAATACGTCCATGGGGTTGGAAATATAAGGACATTAAGACAGCTGTATTCAATGGCTTCATTTCCTTCCAGGAAGTATAAGGTACCGTGCTCTGATGGCACTAGTCGGTATTGGACTGCTAACCGCAAGTTCAATAGTTTAAAACCAGGAGCTACTCCTTGAGAGAAATAGGAGGATTTCTCCTCCTGTAAAGATTTGTAGCCCCAGAAACCCTATTAAAAGTCCCTAATGAACCTTATGGTTGTATGTACGTGGGTGCAGGTGAATTATTGAACCCAACTGAGAAGCAGAGTACTGGGGAGGAAGGGCTGGTGTAAGAATTGACAAGATTAGAGGGCGGGGTTGCCAATGCTGATGATGGTGACACCCTCTCCACTTTGGGAAACCAGAGAGGGCCAGACTTTGTCCCGCCTACTTTTTTTTTTTAAACAGGTGTGGGTTGTGGATCCAAGCAAAATGGAATCCTCAACAATGTCAATGTTTCCTCTGTGCATCATGATATTGTTTATTGATCGGGTGAGGAGGATCTATATTGAAGCTGAGGTATAGCATTCATACCGAAGGCTTTGATCTTTATCAAAAAGTGCTTCAAGTCCAAAAAAAAAAAAGGCTCTACGAGAGGGTCAAGATTGACTGGATGGCGGTGGGTTAAAAAGTAAGGACCTAGGCCAAGATTTAGAGATGGAAATGGAAGTGACAGGTTTGGAAATCGTTATTGAATGGAAGCCAGCTGAGGAGCATATGTGATGTGATCTTCAATGAAGGCAGGGACCCACAGTGGGCCTTGCTGGCTCTGTCCCCACTAAGCTGACTGGCACCAGGGCCAATCCGCAGCTCAGTTGTATGATTTTTTCTATAATAGCATCTGGAAGCTGAGAGAACAGTGTTGGATCGGGGGCGGTGTTGGAAACTGGCTGGTCCCGTCACGGTGGAAGGCAGGGAGCCTAAGGGATGGAGACTGAGATGGAAATGAATGAGCACAAGAAGGACAGTCATGGTGGGGTGAGCACGGAGAGATGGAGCATTGCTGGGGCAGTGGCATTTTCCAGGAAGAAAAAGAGAATTCGTGAAAGCAGGGAAGAGATGACACGAGGTTCTTCTGAAAAGGTGTCATCTGTGAAGCGTAGTCCCAGACCTGAGGAGGCTCCAGGTTGACAAAGGTCCAAGTAGGGTATGGCAGTGGGTGTTTACCTGGAACCCAAGAGGGTTTGCTTTTTCTCAGGGAAGACCCAGAGAGAACATGTATCTCTGCACTGCCCTGCTCCGCTTTAGGTCCTGAACAGCAATGCTCATCGATGGGACAGTCAGGCCCATCGGAATGCCTCTGCTGAACTCAGAATTCTGGGCCAAGGAGAACTAAAAATTAAACCAGATATGATCAAAGGCCAATTAAAGATGGAGAGATGTCCATGGTGGTTGGGGTCTGGGCATGGACCTCCCTCAGAGTTCTAATAATTTAAATACTGTAAAATGAACCAGACAGACGGCATGTGTGCTCATGGACTGGAGGTGATAGGAGGCAAGGGCAAAAGCATGCGGAAAGCTGAGCCAAGACAAACAGGACAAAACCAGGAGCTGTCAACTTGATTTCAACTCAGAGTAGCCCTCTGTGTCTCCCTGGAGGACTCTGCTCAGTGGGATGATCAACGGTTGTGATCTTTTGCAAGCAGATTCCCAGGACTTTCTTCTGAGGCGCTTCTGAGTAGATTCACACTTCCAACCTTTCGATAACTAGCTGCGGACTTCACCATTTGCACCAATCAAGGACTCTTTGTTGGAAGGGCAGTGGCGAGAAAACGGGAAGCTAACACACTCTTAAATTCACGAAGCAGAAGAGTGACACACATGTCCGTGGAGTATACTAGGACCTGGGTTAGTTGCACACAGGATGCTAATATTTCTCTATTGCTGAATCTAAATCACAAAAATCACCTCATGTGCATTTGAAAGTGGCTCATTGAATAGGAAAAAACAAAGAAGAATCGATGCATTTGAATTATGGTGCTGGGCACTGAATATTGGATATTAAAATCACTGTCAAAGAATGTTGACAGTTCCACGAACTGCCAAAATAACAATTCAATTCTGTCCTGTTAGAAGTCCAGTCAGGATGCTCCCTCACAGCAAGCATGGCATGACTTCATCTTACGTCCTTTGGATAAGCTGTCAGGGGAGACCAGCCCTTGGAAAAGGACATCATGCTTGGTGAAGCAAAGGGGCAGCGAAGAAGAGGAAGGCCTTTGAGGAGATGGATTGCCACAGTGGCTGCACGACTGGGCCCAAGCAAAAGAACAATTGTGAGGATGGCGCAGGAGCGGCAGGGCTTCACTCTACTGTCCACAGAGCCATGGCGACTCGGACAAACTGGACAGCCCCTAACAACAACAAAATCGTCAAGAAGCTAGGATTCTTGATAGATGGCTTCCTCATTTATTAGGGAGAACTTTAAATATTGTCTAGTGTGATAGACACAGTAATGGCCTCCGCAAGGATTCCCAAGTCCTAATACTCCGAACCTGGGGATCTGTTACCTCACAAAGGGGACTTTGCAGATGGCATTTAAGAATTAAATTTAGGATCTTAAAATGAGGAGTTTGGGAATATCCAGACCAGAGGGCCTCAAACTTTTTAAACAGGTAGCCAGTTAATTGTCCCTCAGACCCGTTGGAGGGCCGGACTATAGTTTAAAAAAAAAAAATGAACCAATTCCTATGCACACTGCACGTATCTTATTTTGAAGTAAAAAAACAAACGGGGCAAAAACACCCGGCAGGCCAGATAAATGTCCTCGGCGGGCCACATGTGGCCCGCAGGCCGTAGTTTGAGGACCCCTGATCCAGACAGACCCAACATAATCACAAGGGACCTTAAAAGAGGCAGACAGAAGGCTCAGAGACCCAGAAGGAAATGAGATGATGAAAGCAGAGGTCAGAGAGAGAGAGGAAGATCCTGCGATGCTGACTTTGGAGACAGAGGAAGGGGCCATGAGCAAAGGAATGCAGGAAGCTTCCAGAAGCTGGACTATGTGAAAATTTCCCCTACATCCTCCACAAGGAACATAGCCCTACCGACACCTTGAGTTTGGCCAAAGTGAAAGCCTTTCGACTCTTTCGACTTCTAGAACTAATAAGACAATACTCTGTATGGCTTCAAACCACTAATGTGGGAATTTGTTACAGCAGCCATAGAACACTAATACAGTTCGGAAACCCTTTCAGAAAAGCCATCAGAGGAAGCTCTCAGAGGGGATTTGCTAAAAGCCAACAAACAAGACAGGTTTCAGAATGTTCCCAATATCCCTTCACCTCTGCTGCTCAGTGTTTTAAAGCAACCGCCTGAATTTCTTAGCTATTCACAAAGATCAACTGTGTAGAAAGTGATTTTTAATTTTTTTTTATTTTTGTGATTTATTTTTTTAAGGTAAGCTTGTTCTCTCTATAGGATGCTGTAAATATTTTTCAGGCACCGTAAACGGCGTTGTAATAGAATCACCTTATTTGAGTGTTTACAAATGGCAGCGCTTGTCTTCCCAGAGGAAGCCCAAAGACGGGCAGAGACCCCCACCCATTGGAGCCGTACCTCTGCTGATGACTTCAGGAATGCCGCATGAGTCTGCAGCACTCGGACCCTGAGTCCGATGCTGTGGGAAACTATTTTTAATTCTTCCTCTAGCCATTTAGCTTTAGAAGAAAGTGATGTTACGTCATCGGACCCAAATTCCTGTTTCTCTGTCAGGATATTCGCAGCTGCTTCTAATTGCTCTGATGTTTCCTACGAAAGCAAAGCATAGGACGTCAGAAGCCGACAGGGGAATTGTAAACATTTTTCATTACTTGCTGTCCATCCATCGATGACACTGGTTAATTGAACGTTTACCAAGACGCCCCTCAGTAAAACCAAGGCACAGCATTTAAAAATGGAAAAAAAAAGGCACTACAAAATCTGCACCATCTCCATGCGGTCAGTAGCTTTATCAGCTACACTTCTCCTCCGGAGCATTTTGCTTTGTGTTACAGACAGAAGCAAGGTTGTTTGGAACAAAAGGGCATAAAACAAAATGCCAGAGCTGTAATTATACTTGAGGATTGCTTTATGCAATTCAGCAATAGATCCAGAAAATTCTTAAACTAACCTTACTATGTAAGAATTGGCAAATTTACAAGTTATTCATTTTTTTAATTAAAAAAATGACATTGATTTTACTTATGCAGCCTTATTCCTATCTAGAAATAAGGTTAAACAAGTGTAGGGGAAATATTACGTATAAGGCCTAAACAATCTAAAAGAGTCAGTGTAGTTTAGAGATTTTTAAATGGTTAGGAATGCTCTCCTCTGCTTTCTTGTGAGTGCAATTTATGGCATTTGGGAAAACTGCTAATCAGATGGATGAATAGATATCGGAGGCAGTACACACACAATTGCTTTAGAACAGCTATGCCAAATTTCATGTGAGACAAGCTAGGAACCGAGCAAAAATGAAAGGAAAAAGCTTCATTCTCATTTGCAGCAAGGAGAGATTGCTCCTGTGTCCTGCACTTCATTTGCATCCCGGCACTCGGTTGAATGAGGATGACTAGTTTACAAGCTCTGCTTCGGGGTAGCACTCAGGGAAAGAAGAGAACTGGGGAGTTTCTCTTCCTTCATTCACTTTGTCCCCCACAGCAAACAATTTTTAAATAAAACAATGAAACTGAGTCCAGACATAAAATGTTTTAAGTATTTAAAATAAAAAATTAACACACACACACCATCGAGTAAATGACTTTGTAAAAATGGGCTCACCTGCGCATTTCAGGAGGAAGAGATGCCTGAGGGCCTCTTCTGCTGGAAACTGACAGAGTAACAAGGCGATTTCCTACCTGCCTGAGAGGTGCTTCACTCACCTTTCTTAAACACCTGCTGGAGCAGGCCGGAGGCATCAGTGCTAACAAGGGATCTATCTCCCATGGTAGAAAGGAGGAAGATAGAGAAGGTTCAAGGGAGAAGAGGAGCGTTTTCTGGCTTTGAAAATTGAGTGTGCAAATACCCTGTCATTTACTTGGCCTGCCAGAGTCTTACAGTAATGCATCTACTTTGGGCAATGTTTTGTTGCAACTTGTTCTGGGAGGCAAACACAACGTGGGCAGTACTAAAGCACGGCGCTCCCTGCTTCCTCTGGCACCCCCAAAGGAGTTGTTAACATTGACCAGGCTAGGAAAAAGCCACATGTGTGTGTAATTCCAGGCACTGATGCTGTGTTTCTGTGAGTTCAACCGCCCTAAGAAATTCACCTAGCAACCCAATAAATGTGCATGGAAATAATTTAATCACATATTATAGTATACATATAGTATACATATTATTTGCTATAGCACTAATCTAAAATTGCAACTCTCAGGGGGTCTAGGATTGTTTTGTAGCTATTGAATATGAAGATAAATTATATTTATAAAATCATACATAGAATAATGATTATTATATGATTTACCTTAGCTTGGATATCCAGTTCCAGATATTTATTCAAAATCTTCTCTGATTCAGACAGGCTGCAACTGACATCTATTGCATTGGAAAGTATGGGGCTGATTTTCTGAATTGACATTTTCACCTTTATAAATAATTATATAAAATATGAAAAAATATCACAGATAAAAGATACACATATTAAAATATAATGTAATCTTAGTACTGTGGGACTATATGTGCATACATGAGGGGACTTCAAAACATTTGTGGAAAATTCCATTATCTTTTCATTTCAATTTTCTATGAACTTTTTTATTTTTAAATTTTTTTAATTTAATTTTTTTCCCATGAACTTTTTTACTTTCACTGCCATCTAGTCAATGCTGACTGCTCCCATAAACAGTTAGCGCAGCAGTTCTCAATTTGTGGGTCGCAACCCTTTGGGGGGGTCGAATGACCCTTTCACAGGCATTGCCCGATTCATAACAGTAGCAAAATTACAGTTATGAAGTAGCAATGAAAATAATTTTTATGGCTGGGGGTAACCACAATATGAGGAACTGTATTAAAAGGTCACAGAATTAGAAAGCTTGAGAACCACTGAGTTACAGCCTTGGAACCCCACAGGAGAACTTTTTGAAGCCCCTTTGTATTTCCATTATGTTTTAAATAACTCACTGCCATTGAGTTGATTCCACCTTAAAGAAACTCTATTGTTGAGTTTCGGAGGCTGCAAATCTTTCTGGGAGCAGACAGCCTCCTCTTTCTCTCCGGTCAGACTGGTAGGTTTGCATTTTGCAGTTAGCAGCCAAATGTCTAATCCACAGGGAATCCTGTGACCCTATATGCTGTTAATTTTCATCTAAAAACTAGCTTTAAATATTTAAACTTTCATACATAAATAATGCTGTGTTCTTCATATGAGATACTACTACTGACCCACTGACAGAGGGAATACTTTTAAGTGTATTTATTTTTATTATAAACAGTGAGCTATAAGTCATCATCTCCGTCCTCTAAGAACGTATCTATATTAAACATAAATGATAATCCGCTTGCCAATGCAACAGCAGAGGTGAATTCACATAACCAACTAACTCAGAGGCATCAACTGTAAGCTGAACAGGACACACTTTGCCTGCACATTTACAAGTGGAGGTCCAGGACCCACCCTACAGGTTGCTATATGTACACATGATAGTAAAACACAGGCACGTAACCCATTTAATCATAGAAATTGGGGCACTATGATTTAATATTCAATATACATCAATCAAAGTATAAAGGAGATTTTAATGGGTTCAAATTACTTCTTTCATCTCTCTGCTCTAACCAGGATCCAACTTCAGAACTCAAATTGACTTTGAATTGGCAATAAGAGAAGTAGCAACAGCTATTTGAGTTCCTACTGTGTAGTCTACCACCACCAAATTAGCTTGAGTCTCGAGCTCCAGAGAATGTGGGCACCCCACAGGTGTGTCATATTTGGAATCTCCTAGACCCAGGCATCAGAACAAGCCTCAGATTCCCAAGTTTTAGAATCAATAACAGGTGGTAAGATAATTTAACTTGAGACATCGTTAGCTAAATGGAGACATAGTTAGCCCTTAATGTCCTTTATAGAAATAAAGAAAGACATATTTAATGTCTGCACCTATGAAAACTAGTAATTCTATATGTGTAAGTCCAGCTATATATCCATTGATTCAAATGACAACATCGTTGGAAATGTGAGATCTAGCATATGGAGTGACATTTCTCAACATTAGTATCACTGATGTAGTACCAGTTTTTATTCTATGTCCCACCCATTGGTCATTCATCGAGATAGTTGTTGCCTGATTTTGTTCTACTTTGAAAAGCCATTTTCTTCACTTTGTAAAGAGAATCTTCATGTGTTTTTATTCAAAATAACCATGTCCCTTGAACCGACTTAGTACTACAAAGTATAATAATGGCATTGTTATTACCTACAAAAACCTGAAATTCACAATTTCTTGTAGCAGCTTATCTATCCATCCATCTTAGGGCTTTAGAAAGTTCACAGAAATATTAACTTAAAAGATACTGAATTTTTCCTACAAACTTTTAAAAGTCCCCTCATATCTATCATGATGTGGTGCTCAGTTTGTACAGCATTATGTTAATTTATACATGTTTATTTAAACCATGCTCAAAACCCTACAAACTGTTGATGCCATTCTAGTATACCTATGGTTCAATTAACGTGGTACTGTGCAAGCAAGAACCACCTTTGTGTTCAGATGAGGGGCTGCTGAAAATGCATGGGAACATTGCATCAATTTTTCATGCCATTTCCCATGAACTTTTGGAAGCCCTCTCAAAGGATGGTGTTACCAGCAAGGTGCTAATGATTTATTTTGGAAACCTGGAGCAGGGATAGTTGATGAGTAAAAATGATTCTGCACTTGGTCTTGTTCCATTGGTGGAGTTGATGTGGAAGTAAGAGACACATATGAAGACAAGTCCCTATCCCCTCCCACACCGACTCATTGCAGTCACCACATGCATATCATCAGCAAATTAGAAAAAGCTACCGTTGCGAGAGGAATTGTAGCAGATGCATCTAAAAATTAGCTTTAGGAGAACACATGCTATGAAAATACCTTCCTTAGGTAACCCTCCACTAAGGCTGTTAATTGCTGTTTCTTAAGAGCGAATTCTTTGTGCGTGGAACACTGTTCGGTCAGGTGATCCACTCGTCTTTGAATGCATCCTACCATCTCGTGGATTCCGGTTACCCGAAAGCTGAATAGAACAAACCAGGTGTTAGTTTGGTTTACTGCAATATACAAACGAGCCCTAGGAACAGGTAGCGTTTGAAAACAGATTTGCTCTTTCATGTAGATATGAATTGATAAAAGCTTCAGGTTTCAGACTTCAGGATCAGAGAGGCTAAGTAGCTATAGTCTGGTACAACATACAGCAAAACAAATTATATTGGTTTGCTTAAATCAGTCAGTCCTGAGGAGAAAGATGAGTTATAAGTTTATAAAACCGGGTCTAATTGTCTTTTCTAAATGTCTACTTGTTATTATTTCTCTCAGATATTTTGAGATGTTTACAGCAAAAAAGCACAATATATTTGCCAAAAGTTTCCTGGGGGTGCTATTTAAAAGCTTTATTTTTCTAATATGCTCTCTGAATAGAAATATGGATCAGCCAATTAACAGAGCATTTACTAATCCAAAAGGGTAAAATATTTCTGTAACACCAAGGCCCTTGTTCCTGATACTTATGAATGTTCAAGGCTGTGTTCATTACATGAAAACTGAGTTATCACCAAATATTAGGAATCGAGTATACCAGTTCATAAAAATAAAGGGAGCAGTCAGACCTGGAACTATTTATAGGGTTTGGTTTTGTTCTTTTTGTTTTTTTGTTGGTGTTTTTGCTTTTGTTTTGTTTTGTCTATCTTTATAAGGTAAGCATGACAAGGAATCCCGAGGAGAAAGCAAAGGGTGGGGGGTCAAGGGAAAGAAGGAGGTGGGGTGAGGCGAGAGAAGAGAGCAGTGAGCCAATAATGTCAAGGACAGGGGAACAACAAGGGATCTAAATGATCAAGTGTAACCTAGCCAAGAGGAGTTACTGAGAGGCGAATGAGGGGTGAGCATGATAGTGCATGATAGTGGAGCAGGAGGAAGGTAAAAGGAAATAGAGGAAAGAACTAGGATGTAAAACTACACATAGAGGTATAAATATAGACATGTATACATGTAAATATATTAATACATAGAGATAAGGGTATTGGTTTACGTACATATATTTGTATGGTAATACATTGAGGTAGCAGACAGACTTTGAGCCTCTACTTAAGCTTTCCCTCAAAACAAGAACACTTTGTTCTGATAACATGGCACAGGGCAATACCCACCTTCCTGACGTGATCACTAAAGACAAAATGGGTGCATAAGCAAATGCGGTGCAGAAAGTGGATGGTGCCAGGCTATTAAAAAATATAGTGTCTGGGGTCTTGAAGGCTTAAAGTTAAGCAACTAGCCATCTAGCGGGGGAACAGCTAAGCCCCACATGGAAGAAGCACCCCAGACTATGTGATCATAAGGTGTCAATGGGAACAGGTATCAGAAGTTCAAAAACAAACAATCACATGGATATGAAGAAGAAGGGTCAGAGTGGAGATCCAAAGCCCATCTGTCAATAATAGTTCTATTAACCATAGTCTTTATAACTTCCACCAAACTACAGGGTGGGATTATGCAGATTGGGTGTATTTACTTTTTTACTGATGGTTCTCAATAAAAGAAGGTTAGGGAATAGACTGACAGAATTATATGATTCTGTGCATGATTGTTAACAGAGTTGATTGTGATTCTAAAAATTTGGAACTCTAACGTTGGCATTGGTAAATTTTGCTGTCCTGATGAGTATAAAACAAATAATCTCAGAATTCAGTCACACAGTGACTGCGCACATGGACTTCTCCAGATGGAACACCCAGACATCAAATTTACTGCATTTGTGGAAGGAGATGATGGAAAAGCTCAATTGCAGCAGATAAAACCAGGGTCTGACTGTAGAACAGACCATCAATTGTTCATATGAAAGTTCAGGTTGAAGCTGAAGAAAATTAAGACACATCCATGAGGGGCAAATACAACCTTGAATACCCTCCTTGAATTCTGAGAACATCTCAAGAACTGATTTGATGCACTGACCACTAATGACAGAAGACCTGATGAGCTGTGGGAGGACATCAAGACCATCACTCATGAAGAAAGCAACTGGTCATTAAAAAAACAGGAAAGAAAAGATCCAAGTAGGTGTCTTAGGACACTCTAAAACTTGCTCTTAATTGTAGAGTAGCTAAAGCAAATGGAAGAAAGGATGAAGTCAAAAACTTGCATAGAAAATTTCAAGGGCAGCTCGAGAAGATAAAGTCTCATATTATAATGAGATGTGCAAAGACCTAAAGTTAGAAAATCAAAAGGAAGAACATGCTCAGTGTATCTGAAACTGAAAGAGGTCAAGAAAAAATTCAAACCTTGAGTTGCAATCTTGAAAGATTCTATGGGAACAATATTGAATGACATAGGAAGTATCAAAAGAAGTTGGAGGAAATACACAGAATCACTGTATAAAAAAGAACTAGTCTACATCCAACCATTTCAGGAGGTAGTATATAAACAATAACCAGTGGTACTGAAGGAAGATGTTCAGCTGCACTGAAAGCATTAGCCAAAAACAAAGCTCCAGGAATTGATGGAATACCCATTGAAATATTTGATGAAGCACTGAAAGCACTCACTCAACTGTCAGGAAATGTGGGATTCATATCTGTACCCATCCCAAAGAAAGGTGACCCAACTGAATGTTCAATTTATAGAACAATATCTTTAATATCACATGCAAATACAATTCTGCTGAAAATCATCCAACAATGATTGCAGCAGTATATTGACCAGGAGTTGCCAGAGGTTCAGGCTGGATTCAAGGAGTATAATTGTTCACATAAGATACATGTTGGCTAAAAGCAGAGAACATCAGAAAGATGTTTACTTGTGTTTTATTGACAATGCCAAGGCCTTTGACTGTGTGGATCATAACAAACTATGAATAGCCTTGTGTGGTAGACATACAATCATTTGTCAATTTGAGGATTAAGAGTGAAGGGGTGGAGTCTACTCAGTCAAATGGGTCATAGCCAATGAGGCTTCTGTGTGGGCATAGCTTTCCGCTAAGGATTCTGGGAATTCTGGTATTTTCTCCTTGGAGGTGGGAGACTCTGCTCACACCCTGGGAGACATAGCAGCTGACAAGACACATGGACCCACCCTGATGAAGCCCTGGGTGCTGGAGAAGCCATGCAGAGGCCCCTGCCAGCGCTGAGATGCTTCCAATGCCACTGGATCCAAAGACTTCCCACCCACTGGCCTGTGATCTTCTACATTCGGCGTCATTGCATGTGTTTCATGAGTCTGAAGAGGACCTTATAGAATGGTATCGGACATAAGGGCTAATATCGGACTTATTGACTTGATCTGGACTGGGCTGGGATGTTTTTACAATGTTCAGTTGCTCTTGTATATCAATCTCTTTCTTATTCACATATGTGTGTCCTCGGATTCGTTTCTCTAGTCTAATCAGACTAACACGCCTTCAGAAGAATGAGAATTCTAGAACATTTCACTGTGCTCACCTGGAACTTGTGCATGGATCAAGAGGCAGTTGTGCAAACAGAACAAGGGGCTACTACCTGGTTTAAAATCTGTGCCTCTGTGTTGTATACTCCCACCATACTTATTCAATCTGTGTGCTGAGTAAGTTGTATACTCCCACCATACTTATTCAATCTGTGTGCTGAGTAAGTCATCCGGGAAACTGCATTATATGAAGAAGAATTCAGCATCGAGCTTGGTGTTAACGAGCTGTGATATGCAGATGGCATAACCTTGCTTGCTGAAAGTGAGAAGGACCTGAGGCACTTGCTGATGAAGATCAAGGATTGCAGCCTTCAGGATGGATTACCACTCAGTGTAAATAAGATCAGAATCCTCACAAGTGGACCAATAGGTAACATCATGATAGATGGAAAATGATTGAAGTTGTATGTCTTGCTTGGATCCACACTCAATACTCATGGAAGCGGCCATGAAGTGCTCGAAGGGCATGTTGCATTGGGCTAATTCTGCTGCACAGACCTCTGTAGCTATTGAAACACAAGGCTATTACCTTGAGGACTAAGGTGTGCCTGACCCAAGCCATGGTATTTTTGATTGCTTCATATGCATATGAAAATTGGGCACTGAATAGAGAAGACCAAGAAGAAGTGATGTGTTCGAATTGTGGTGCTGGCAAAGAATACCAGGCATACCATGCACTGCCAAAAGAATAAACGCATCTGTTTTGGAAGAAGTACAGCTTCCTTAGAAGCAAGGGTAGTGAGACTTCACCTCATCTACTTTAGGCATGTTATTAAGAAAGACCATTAGCTGGAGAAGGACATCATGCATGCTAAAGGAGAGGGGCAGAGAAAGGAGGAAGACCTTTGACAGAATGGATTGACACAGTGACCACGACCAGGGGTTCAAGCATGACAACACTTGTGAGGGTTCTGTTGTTCAGAACCGATTCGAAGGCACCTACAATAACCACAGAACCGCCCCAATAAATCCCATAACCTGGAGCATTGTCGGTGAGTTCGTGGGGCCAATGCCATCAATTACTGAACCAAGAGCAGAAAAGTAGAGTGTGTCAGGAGAGGGACGGCTGATGTCACAATTGATAACGAAGGTTGGAAGGTAGAAGCCTGTCTGACCTCCACTTTATAGAAATTGGCCCTGGGCTGATGTCCAGGTAAATTTTTCCCTCGAGAGGCCAGTGGAGGTCAGGCACAGCCCCTGAGGCCACTCTTCCAGGCGTGCTGGCAGCACAAGGCAAAGAAAGAATGGACCGACCATTTAACAAGTTCTCCACCTGTCTCTAAAACAGGCCCTGTGCTTTCATTTAGGATGTGAAGCCTTTCAATTTCCTGTCCTCCATTTCCTTCATATACTAATAGGGACTGAGGATAACTCTTCATTTAGTTGCCCAGAGTTTAAAAAGATTGTGGAATGAGATGCAGCTTTCAGTAATTTTACCTCAAATAATTAATTTATGACTCTCTAAAAATGAGTTTAATTAGTAATGAAATGAGGGCAAGATCCCAAATGACTGAGAAAGAAAACAACCTCAACCGAATGAGAAATAGTTTGCAAGAGCAATGAGAGTTCATCAGGTGACTTGAGACT